CCTGCGGTTATCAAAGTTAAATGTTCGGATGAGATCAATAACTCAATACTTATTTCATTTCTGTAGTTGATGTACCAGAGTAATTAAAGTTTCCATTATGGAAATGTGATTTGGTATATCCTATTAAGAACCAGGTTTCCTTATAGGACAGCTAATCATTATTTAGGGTTTACACCAGAAGTAAACCTTGTGGTTTCTTAATAATTAATCGTTTTTCAGTGACAATTTATTTAAATATATATCTGTATATGCTATTTATTTTAAAATACTTCGGTATGAATGATCATTTACAGCCTTTACTATTCTACTTCATCATACAATATTTTGTAAGGCGAAACTAGTCCATACATTTTTAACTGGTTATATTTCATGTTTGCGGACATTTAGGTTGTAGATCCCAATCACTTGTAAGACATTGTTTTTTCATGAAGTAGATTAGAAAAATAAATGTGAAATTAAAATTGTACAACATGTTTGATATCAAATCTAATATATAATTTATTTGTACTAGCAGACTGTTTCAAACAAATTGTATTTGATTGAAAGCAATCTAACTTTATTTGTTTTCAATCATTTATAGTTAAATAGTTTTTGTGTGTATTGTACAAGTTTCTTCGCACGGCTTTACGTGCAGATCTTATTTTATTTCTTAATCAAATGGGATTTTATTTTTTATTTTGTTATACGCTTGTTATTCATTGTAGTTTATAATTTGTTTTAGACAATATTGTGTGATTCAAATTTTGCTGAAATAAAAATTAATTTGGAAACATTATTTGTAGATACGAAACAATTTTCTGTTTTGTCAATATAGATTCAACATGTTATATATTAAAAGCTAACAAAGTCAAACAATTCTCAATAATTACGTACTGTGTTTAATTAAACTTTTAGAGATGCTATTGCTTTTCTGTCAAATACACTACAGTCTACAAAGGAGAAACGTTCAACTACTGGTAAAAGACTGCCCAGAAAGCGCGAGTCCGCTCGTACGTAAATCGAGTTCTCGAGTTACTAGATATGCATACATTCCGCCCAGATGCTCTCGCGCGTTACTTCATTCGCGCGTAAAACGCTTGCAATGAGCGAGACTCTCGACTCGAGATCGATCGAGCGTCGCGCGAGTCGAGATACTCCGGCGCCCTTGCAGCGTCCGCGCGTGTCCGCGGCGAGTGAACGTATTCGTTTTTTAAAAATGGAGCGTGAAAACTTTGATATGGAACTTTTTATTGACGAAATTGAGAAAAGAGTAGCTACATACATATATGGAATATGGAATCGTCAGATTATTCTAAAAGAACTATTAAGGGTACGAACTGGGAAGAAATAGTAAAAAATTTTTGTGAAGCTGGTGATTCCGAGGAGAAAAAAAAAACTAACTAAATAACTGACCAAATCCGTCTTATCACATACGACCCTGATTTCGCCGCATCTGCACACAATACAAATCAAAACGCGCTAGTTGGCTCGCGCGTAAATCGCGCTTTCTGGACAGGCTCTAAGTTAAACCATCAGTCTACATCTAATCAAATGTTAATAAAGATTGTGGAATAAGTTTCCGAAATTGAGTAAGCAAGTTGTGCTTCTATAACAGATGCTGCTTTGAGTTACATCGTTAATGACCAATAGAATCAAATTTTAGATAAAATTAATATTTAATACTGTCGTCGCTACCATGAACTAAAATGAATAATGAGACAATTCGTCCCCGTTGGTTAATACTCCGTTTCTATGGATGGAGTTTATTGTAATTTATATTAATAGATTAAAAGCAAGAAAGCAGTATATTATTTGGAACAATATTTATTTACAGCTTAAACTACAAGATTACTAGCTTGTTACATACCCCCAACCTAAGGAACATCACAAAAACCTACACCGTTGTATAGAAAAAAAATCAGAAATAATATAACGCGCAAAAAGCCTGAATATTCTATTAACAGCTAAGCAGCCTTTTGTAAAAGCTATGCTTTAGCGCTTTACTCACTTGATACTCAGGAAAGAGATGTTCAAATGTTTTCTGAGGTACAGCAGCTAACATTTATAAGATTTAGATTAACAGTTAATTCGTAATTTAATATATTAATTTCTTTAATAAATAACTGAAATACATACAATAAATCTCAGTAAATCTATGGCAATGAGGAAAAGTTGTGGTCGTTCTTATAAAAATATCGATTTTCAACTTTCCTTTTTCTTTAAATAACGAGGCAGAAACAAAATGCAGATAATGTTAACTAAATCCGAGTGCTGATATTTGTCTATCTGTCGACATGTATATACTAATAAAGATCGCTCCAGTAAATAGTCAATTAGTTAAATGTTTACTTAACTTAGTGTAGAGTATTTTCATATAAGTAAATATTTAGAGGACGCTTTTGCTGTGGTATTTTTTTCAATCACTCGCTTTTACTGAAAATATACGTTAAATAAATATTATTTTATATAATTGATATAACTACTACAACCAGGTACTTAGTATAAACAAGTTATTTATTAACTTTTCAGTCGCAAAATAACATAGGAAATAGTTTTTATTTATTATATAGTTTTCTTACACAAGTATTTTATTAAATATCATTTTCCTATTCTATTACATGGTCTTACGTCTCTTATATTTTTTGTAATAATCTAAATAATTTCTGCTTTTTCAATTTAGAACCTTTTGAACGAAAGAAAAATGTTATGGAAGTTTTTATATAAAATACACACTTAAATTCTGGTTTATTAGAATTTCATTTAACTTAAAGTTTATTAACAATAGATATATTTTTCATTGTATAATATATACATACTACATACATACCAAAATAATATTTAATTCTAAACAGAGTTGCAGCGGTAGTTTTTTCCATATTTTTAACTCTCTCGACACAAGGTTTCATTATGTTATATGGAAAAATTGTAATTTACACATTATAAAGCACTTTGGGTATTCCTCAACAAATTGTTCACTTAAGGCTCAAAACAAATACAATTAAAGCTAGAAATAAAAGAAAAGCGGTTCCATTTTTTCTTTACAATATGTGTTCAAAGCGGGAGTAATCCAAGTCTTAATTAATTAAATCTAAGAACGTGTACAATGAAATCGGCGTATAATACTCTAAATACTACTCTTATTTTCAAGTAAAGCGCTCCTCAAGGCTGCGAACACGTTAATGAGGCTTAAATTGATCAAAACATTAACAATGTGTTTAATTTTAACAAAGTATTTTGTAAATCGCTTCTAAAGAAAATATAAATGTTTTATTCCGAAGCTTTCATATGATCCTTTAAGACAGTAGGTATACGACGAAGATAATACTTCTTTAATAGCCACTCTCAGTAATGTGTTTTAATAATGTTATATGTAAATGAAGAGGTTTCACAGACACGTTAAAGTAAATTTTTATAAAATTTTTCTTCAAGCAAAGCAATTTTGTTGTTTATTGATTTCTTCCCTTACTACAAATTATGTGAAAGTTTGCTCCTTCCTGTTCTTACTCACCGATTAAAAAAGTAACTAATTAATCCCTTCCTGTTCTAATTAATAAGAACTAATTAATTAATTAATAAGAAAATGTAATAAGCATCAAGTCCTCATAAACAATTCAGAAAAACATCGTGTCAAGATATGATAGTTTGGAAAAATATATCGCAATCATTTAAAATTTGCAGCTATGAATTCTGCAGCTAATTTATTTTAATTCTATTTCATATAAATATTTATACCTATGTTAATTTGAATAATGTGATCTAAAACTTTCGCGAGTATTCATTTAAATGAAACTAATATTTTCGGATTACGAGATGCCAGAGTTGCACATCTCGTCTGCCCGTGATCAAGATTGCTGCAAAATAAGCAAATCGTTGGGAGAATGTTGATTTTCACACTAATAAAATAAGTGTAATAATCCGAAAATATAAGTTTTATTTAAATAATCTGCAAAAGTTGATTATCTTGGGCAAGATCGCAGGGAAAACTTGTGGTACCACGTGGTGCCATGTGGCAGAACACCAAGCCGATGGTGTGATAAAATCGCAACAGTGACGTTAAATAAAGCAAATAACACAAGGAAGTGGAACGACATAGTGAACGATGCGTTGAAGATCTTTCAGGGACACGACCTTCAGTAATGAAGAACATGACTAAGAAGATCATTAATATATTAATATATTCAGCAGAGATTTCAACATTTTTAAACTTAAGCAAGTGTGTTATTTTACGAATAAAAGTTTTTTTTTTTTTAAATAACCGATTTAAAAGTATATATAGTGAACTCAACGCATTGGCAAAATATTCTAGAAACACACTAAATTAAAATTATAATAAAACCCCCAACCCAATTAGAAACATGAAGAGAACCAGTCAAGACAAATTTAACGAGCCCAATCTCGATGGGTTTACTGAGAGGCAGTTTAGGGTTACGACTAACAGCTCAGTAGTTCTAGAAGACATTAGTGTTTCAAATTTCAGATCCCACATTTGCTTGCAGGCAAACTGTGAGTTTAACATTCCTATCACACATAACAAACGACCTGATGACCTTGAAGACCTGAACCGATTTCCACTAAACATAGCTAAGAACACTCTCGACGTATACACCTTTCAAACAAAAAAAAACCTATTAAAATCGTATCACCCGTTTGGGAGCTACGTTACCTCAGGCAGACACACACACACACACACACACAGACACATCAAACTTATAACACCCCGTCGTTTTTGCGTCAAGGGTTAATGACAGATTAAATTCATCCTTTTGTATTTTCCATGATTCCTGATTTTTTTTAATAACTGTTAAAATCAAAGAACTATAAGTACCTGTTCTATTTTAAACGACAATTTTTATTTTAAAATACAAAGTCAGCTTACTCACAAACAGTCTGTAGAATTTAAATGAGGTTTGAACAGTTTCGACTATGAAGGTCAATGATTTTTAGTCTACAGGTACTTACTCATTTTATTGAATATAAAGACATGTCATGAACAAACTATATTTATTAATTAACAAAGTGCCCTACAGAGCGGTCGCTCGGTACAGGGCGGGGTTGGTGTCCAAGTTCATGTTGAAGTCTTCCAGGTCCTTGTCGCAGCTGGCCCGTGCAGGCGCCAGGCGTTGTCGTCTCAACACCAGCAGTAACAGTAGGTTGTACTCTGACGTAGCGTTCTGTACCATCCTTAGGGTCGTCTCCAACTTCTCCTGGCGAGCGTCCCATCCTCGCAACTTCTCCAAACATTCGCACAGGTAACGATTTAACTATAAACGTGAACCAACAATACATATCCTATAGTATGATATATATTCTATACGGTAAACTAATTCTGTTACCTTAATAATTCTTCTTTCCATTAGTTTTCTCTGTATCCAATCGCACAAATAAATAAAAACGGCTAGTGACAATAGACATAACGTGAGAAACAAGTCGACTATATTGAAATCTAGAGAAAACCAAGGTTCTGTGATGCTATGACTGTCAGTGACCGAAGACAGTGATAGAGATTCCGAGATATGTTCCTTTGGACTCAAATACAGGTCTGGTATGTAGTACTGTGCCGGCAGCAGCAACAGCGTCACCAGCGCCGTCACCACCAACCCATTCGTGCAGCCGCTTAACGGCATTGAGCCTTCACGTCAAACACCTCACATTTCTTTAAACTTAAGAAAAATAAATTTTCTATTTCACTCATAAATATAATACACTTTTAGATACAAAAAATAATATTCAATTCTGAAGGCTGTAAAATTGACACTTAATTTTTCTTCTAGATTAAAAATATTTTTGGTAATAAAAACTAGTTTAGTTTATCTTCTAGTTACGGCCTTGATCTGTTTCGAGGCTTGTTCTTTAGTATATTCAGCCGACACACCACAGAGAAAACAGTTTGGGGATTGGTCTCTTTTACAAAATTATTTAAACTGTTAAAAGTCACACTTTTAATAAATAGAGATCATTATCATTTGTACCACAAACAAGCAATAAGCATAGAGCCGATGAGCATCTCTACAAAGAGACATATATATAATTAGTTTAATGACTTAATGAAGAAAGAAAAAGAACATGGACTTGTCAGTAAAGTTACCTAGGGGACTCTGAGGGGTACGAAAAAATCAATTGTAATTATACTCGGATATTAACAATAGAAATTAAAACAAATACATATCTCTATTTAAACTAAGTTTGTGAAATATGTTGACACTGACAACATATAATTTACAATAACGAATTATGATTTAATTTTCAATACACTGCTTGAAGAAAACACGACGAAGATTTTCTAGTGAATTATTAGCGTTTATTTACATAGTCCAGTTAAATTCTTGAGCAACATCTAGAACAACACAATAAAATAATGTAAACGAATTTGGCAAACAAAATGTGCTCAAAGGATAAAAATAACTGAAGGCTTTGATTTATAGATTTATTTAATTTACAACATAAGCAATTACTCAACTTTAATTGGATAAGATTCAATCATAAAGCTTCTAATATTACTATTGATTATAGTGTAAATGTAAAAGGTATTTGTATGACGAAAAATAGACCAGTATTTTCAATCCAGCAGAAAACTCCATCATGACTTATTAGATAGTGAAGATAAATGGTAGTAAGATTAGCATAAATTACATTATAATAGAACTAATATTTTCGTTTTTACTGCGCGTTTTTTTATTATTATTTTAAACTACATCCTCCAGAGGTTTCGGTTACTTTGTAGTAACCGTGTATTTCCATCTCGTCTATCCGTGATCACAGCTGATGTAAAATACCGGAACATCTGGAGTATGTTATTTAAAATAATAAAATAAAAATAAATAGTAATTGATTTAAATGATACAGACAGTCTTTATGAGTGTCCAAATTAATACATGAACATAACAAACATTTGGGATCCACCTAGTTATTACAAAAATAAACTTTGTCAGTGACCATGTCAAGTAATTTTGAATAAAAAAAAGGATAGCTCTTAATATCAACAAAAATGTATCATTTATGGTATGGTATTGTTGGTTGTTAATATAAGTGTACGGGAAGGAAATTATGGAAAGACCAGATATGGCTAAAATTAATTGCTTTATTATTAATTGTTCACGAAAATTATAAATTGTGATTAAATATTTTATACAATACTAAAATAATCCATTAATTAAATTTTTATCACTTCATTTTTCCTATATATGAAACATTTGTTGTTTCATCAACAAGTCGTTTATGACTGTGAAATATTGTCATTATTTGTATTTCCTGAATCATGAGATATACTTCCTACATCAAAACTACTTCGAGTAGTATTTTTTATATTTTCTAGCGAACAACAGCTATATGCGCCGTCTTACCATTACTGCTAACTACACTACAACCAAAACCATAAACCACATAATACACACTACAGGACTAAAGCAAACTGAGATAAAAAAATATAAACACCAGAAAAAAATAGATAAATTTTACGAGAAACTATCACTGATACTTGCAACTCCAATAATGTGAATTTCGAATTCCCAACATACGACCTATCCATTCTACGCATACAGTTGTCATTCACATTAAATAACTTGTCAATGTCAAAAGAATCTTAATACGTCACACCATGTTTGTAAATTAATAGTTTAAACATTTTCCTGTTTAATAATTGTATTAAATAGGAAAAAAATCCTATGTGATCGCCATTTTTAAAATACCTTCAGAAGTTATTGCGCTTCATTTGTAACGTTACAACCGGAATTAAGTCATTAAATGGTAAGTCTTATTGGATTTTTTATATATTTACTACGTTCCGCAACTTATAAAAATATTCCGTTATTGTATAATCTCACTCATTCTTGTTCTTTCAGGGTCATCAATAAACATTGATATGTAATTTACTAAGAACAAAGAACTAGCTGTTGATATTCTGATATTTGTTTAAAAGATGAAGAAAGTCGTATTATTTAAAAGTGTGTCAGAGGACTACAAAAAAGTCTTTAATGAGAACAACTATGAGGCTATATTTGTTGAACCTTTGCAATTTGAGTATATGAATTTAAATCAATTGGGAGACAAATTAGCAGAAAGTGAATATAAGGGTATGATACTTACGAGCCCCAGAGCTGTTGAGGCAGTTTCTAAATGTTGGTCGCCTTCCAAGTTCGTTACGTGGAGCACCAAAAGAGTGTACACTGTAGGCGAAGTCAGCAACAACAAGATAAAGTTACTCCTTGGCTTAGAGGCTCTCGGCACCACAACAGGAAATGCAGAAAATTTAGCCAATCTCATAGCTAATGAGAACTGTGAAAACGAGAAATTTCTATTCCCATGCGGCAACTTAAGATCAGAGATTTTACCTAACATACTTGAATCTAAAGGTATAACGGTTGACCCTGTGACGGTCTATGAAACAAAAGAAAATGAAAACTTAAAAAGTAATCTACTGGAGCTCAACGACACCATGAACCCATGTTGTATGGTGTTTTTCAGTCCATCAGGTTGTGAATACATTTATCGCCAATTACAAACATTCAACAACAACCTTTCAAATCTTCCACACTTTGCTATCGGCAATTCAACTGCACACAAAATTGAAAATCTCGGTGTAGAGATAGCTGGTGTAGCAGAAAAACCCAAAGCAGAAAGTGTCATAGAATCTGTTCAACAATATTTTAGGACTCATGAGCTGTGCCAGTAGAGTGAAGTATTATAATTGTGTTGTCCATTACTGATGTAGAAATATTTATAAATGTTCATGTTATATACAATATAATTTTAAAAATGTTATCTTTTATGTTCAATCGTTAAATCTCAATTAATATGTAATAATTTATAATCAATATAAGAAAATGGTGGGAGTTAATAATGTAAAAAAGATATAGCAGCTTTTAAAACTTCCTTTTAACATTGAGGCTTGTATCCAGCAAATATTACTAAATAAATGCATATCCCCACTTTACAAATTACAAAAATAATTATTTATCTGTTAATATTCTTGAATCCATACATATACTGATGCAATAAAACTTCAATGCTAAAAAAACTGTTTCACCAAGTTGACTACCAACAACTTTTACTTGGAAAAGACAGTACTGAGTACCAGAATATTATGTGTAGTCTATAGTTAGTACCTTTCTGAATCCAATTATTCTATATAACCATTATTATACTAACATATTTTAATATCTTGTAACATTAAATGCCCTGTAAATGACATAAACTATGTGTACCGGGTGTTAATAATGAACTAGACTAGTAAATAGTAATAAATAACAACACACACTTGTATAAAACCATATATGTATTATCATTAAAATTTAAAAGTAAAATTTACTCGCACAAATTTAATGGAGATCATTCATTATGGAATCATCACATCCTTCTTGTAAATAAACATGTGACACACAAAGCTAACTTGCACATAAACATACATAAAACACAACGGCCCAACGATTACTTGAACATAGAGATGTTTTCAAATGTATTCTATTAATACAAATTCCTCTTGTAATGTTTCACTTGATTTTTGCGACACAGAATCATTTATAATGTAAGGGCCGCATATAAATGTAATGTTGGCGTAAACTTGAGTGTTCAATAACAAGTGTGTCCGTATGTTGTGAGAATAATGCTAAAGTAACACTTAAAGACAACAAACTTTAACTTACATGATACGGTGCAATAAAGTTAAGGAATCAAATAACATTTGGTGATATGTATATTATATAAAGAAAGAAATGACCTCCTGCATCTTCACACACGCAAAGAACAAGTGTCGCCACTAGGTGAGACGGGCCACAATGATTCTCAAACATTACAGTTTATTTAAGAGAAATCTCCATTAATGTTTAACAATAATTTTAATATTACAGAATAAAATTTAAAACATGACCGATATAATTAGTTTCAATGTTGTGGTGTGAAGATGCAGCTAGTGGTATAAAATTTTTGTACAAAATTTATGTATGTCGTTTTATATTAAGTTTTACTAAGTTTCTATATAACTTGCAAAGTAATAAAAAAGAATGTTCAATAATTGTGAATAATTCCTTGTCTATGGCCAGCTTCCTGTTCCCGTGGTACAAACTGAACAATGGTACAAAGTTCCTAAGCTCATAGCGCGAGTATGATACATTAGACAGTATAAAATTACATCCTATAACAATACTTATTTGGTATTCTCTTGAAATCCCCTTAGTGCTAACTATGACTTAAAACAACGTCATGCAAACTATTTGATCCGTTACAAGCATCATGTTAAATAAATATTTCATACAATACACCAATACTATGAGCCAACACTAATTCAAACTAACTCAACATGGAAAATTCCTAAAATTTATGTAAGATAAAAATAATAGGAAATTCATGTATCAAGGTAATCTTGTGGACAACAAACACCAAAGATATTCAATGTGGGAAACTAATATGTAATATAAGAGAAAGTTGGTCCAAGTATAGTGTTGACTCATTATAAAGTACAAATAGTCACAGATTACAAAGTACATGTTATAAATCACTTGACTACTGAACTCTTAACACAATAACCTTCCATTATAATACAAGTTACCCTTTGGATATATCCACACTTCAAAATGTATACAATAATAATATTAAAAACTTACTAGACGGGGCATTCATAACATTGATAAAATAACAGCAAAAGCTAAAATAAACTTGCAAATGAACACGGGCAGTCGTCTAAGATTTGTGCACAAACTACAAAGGAAATTCACTTAATTAATATAAATAAAGTACTTAACACTAAACGGACTAGCATCGAAATCAGACTTGTGGAAAATAAAATGCAATCATAGAGAAATGAACTGTTGGAGTGATTGAGACACCGCTTTGAAACAAAACAAACTAATCAGAGTACATCGACTATATACAAAGACAGTAGAGTCTGTAGACTTACAAGAGTGTATAAAGACAGGAGACTTGTAAAGTTGAAATCACAAAGGACATCAGAGGCACGGGTTGCTTCACACTAAACTACTTCACCTCGCGGCGCCCACCACTCACCACTCACGACTAGTTAACAAATGGACGTGCTTCACAAACTATAGTGGCAGTATTAGACATCTCCGTACACACTGACCCCTCCCTCCTATCACGTACCACGCACTACAGATACAACTCTCAGTGGTCCTACGAACCGATCACCCCTACATGTACTACTAAATGTTTAAAAAATACAGTAAATCAATTCATCACCGACATCACCGTCACTCATCGCCTACTCTCACAGAACGCTTGGCGAGTGGAATACAAGTCTCTCATACCAAACAGGGTTTGTGCCGTTTAATAGATACATACAGAGAGAGAGAGAGGCACACGAGACAGACATGTATATGACATGTACCGACACAGAGTGGCTCACGTCACTAGCCTAAGGGTCCAACTAGAAAAATAATATTTCAAAGTGTTCATGGGTTCATAGAAAACGTGTGTTCCATCGCTAGGGGTGTAGAGGGGGCGAGGGCTTCGCTCCACCGGCGAGACGCTCTAGAAGTCGGTGGAGGAGGGCGGTCACTATAAGGGAGGGTCGCGGGACGTGGAGGGCTGCGGGGCGGGGGGCGCGGCGGGCACGGCTCGGTACGCGGCCCGGGTAGACGAACACGAGCGGCCGCTGGAGCGACGGCCGCGGGCACCGCGCCGCAGGCACCCCGCGCGGAGAGACACCGCCAGCCCGCCCACGGACACGCAGCCCGCGTTCACACCCACACCCTGGAACATACACACCCACATACACTACCATCAATAGACTACATGATACAAAGGCTCGTTAAAAACCATCAAACAAAATGTGAAGAGGACAAATACATTCAGCTGGTCACGCATAGAAATACGTTAAGTTGTACTCTCAACACGACGTCCAATAATAATAAGGTATAGTGTGTCTGATTTAAGCTGAGCTTTGCATATGTGTGAGTGTACACGAATAGTGTAGGTGTGATGTCAAATTTTTGAATGCCACGTTCTTTTCTAGTTTTGAACCGGTTTATTCTTATTCTACTCCGCCCCGCACCTTACGCACTTCACCCTTTGTACTGGTAGCAACTTCAAATGTTGAAAACGCAATGTCAAGTGAAGAAAAATTTGTATTGTTTCTTCAAAATTTTTATTACCTACTTAATATTTTTTTCCATAATATTTCCATGTAGCCTTTTACATGTTTCGCTTATTTTATTTTTAATCTAGAAAAACTCTCTCACTTATGTTATGTATCTATTTAAATATAATAAAATTGAATTCTAAAAGTTTTTTGTCTAACTCTACTTTTACTTTCAATCACACAAATGCAAAGCTCGGCTGAAGTCTAACTATACTATATACTGGCTAATGTTAAAACCATCAAATGGAATGTGACAGTATTAATGAAGATACAATATGTTAGTAGTGGTACTGACAGCGGCTGTGTACAGCATGTTGGCTGTGACTGAGAGGGCGGCGGGCGGCGTGAGGGCCAGCAGCAGGGACAGAGAGCCGCCCAGCAACCAACACGCGCTCCATGTGAACGATACACCACCCTGCAGACACACAACACATACATTAAGATCTACAGTAATATAGATTCTTTTAATTCCCCTTGCTCCTATACTGTATTCTTTAAATTTAATTATTTTCTTCTGTATAATCTATGTAATGTATGTGTGTAGCAAAGTAAATGGTTTTAAATTTGATCAATAGATTGATTATAGAATGATCCATCTGAGATGTTGTTCAACCAAGAATGCATTAATTTAATATAATTAATGATATCTAAGATTACATCTCGTCTGCCTGTGATCACGGTTGGTGAAAAGTAACCGAAACGTTGGGAGTATGTAGTTTATAATCAAGAGACGAAACCTTTTGAGCATTCAATTGATTCACTGTGTGGATTCCGGGGCCATCGCGTTACAGGGAGAGGAGCTTCAACAGTGACTGGGACTTACGACTCAGCTGTAGGTTTAAGGGGCCCCTTATCTAACCCGCGTTAAACGCTCACCCACCTCCACTGTCCAAGCTCCTCTCTCTACCTAACCAAATTTGAAAAGAACCTACTAGGGCTGCCTTCGACGTACGTTCCAAGAATGAATTAATGTTAGTTCTGGACGGGCCCAAGTCTTTTAGTAGGTTATAGAGAGATTTAGCTTGTATACCTCTCGCTCCTACCACTACCGCGTACAAATCCACGACGAACCCATTTCGAGTTAGTTCGTTAGTGAGCTCGTAATACTTATTGACCTTGATGGTATGGTCTTTGGGGATGTTTTTTTCCCAAGGAACCGTAAGCTCTATCATCACAACCCGCTTTAAAATTCGCGAAAACAAAAATATGTCTGGTCTGGAGGCCGACGCACAAAATAATATCCTTTGGGATTTTGTATTGTTTAGAAAGTCACATAGTATGCATATCCGAAAAATATTTGAGTAGAAACTCGATTATCCGGCTGTCGGTTATACAGATTCGCGATTATCCGAACTACGGACAAGTCCAGATATGAAAGAATGGTAAAGCGTTAGAGTGTGGTGTTGTTGAGAGTGGCGTACGTCAAATGACAATTAGCAAATATTCAAAATCAAATTAAACTTATTATTTTATTTTATGATTAAAATCTGCTGTTTTTAGTACATACATGTATATGTAATCTAAGAAATTGTATCCTTTAATTACTTATTAATAAACATTGATTTTCGTTGATATGTATTTTTTACTTTTTTAAATAAACTAAATACAACATATGCACAAAACCGACTTTTCTTCATACATTTGATTATCCGTATTTTCGATTATCTGAATGCCTATTAACAACAATTAGTCCGGTTAATTGAGTTTCTACTGTAGTTTCATTTAAATTTAATATTAAGTTGTTCATAGTTACAGCATATAACAAAATATGATATATTTACTATTCTATTCCAATCGACGGGTAGCAAGGCATCTAGGAGTGATATATGCATGAGGAGACGGAGTGTTTGGAGCATGAAGGTTGTCAGGGCTCCAAACAGAAGTGGCTTAGCGGCAGACGCCAGCCGCAGACCCAGAGCACCCCACAGACACACACACACAGTAAAGGAACACAACTGAAATAATAATTATAACATTAACACACATTATCATGATGAAACTGGATGACAGTATTGTTAATATAAAATTAACACATGGTATCATATAATATTAAGATAAACAAAGTAAGTATTGTTATGATTGAAGAAGAATATAAAAACAGACCTCGATCCTACTAATTGGTAAAAAAAAAACAAGTTACTGAATAAACAATGCAAAATTTCAACAGGTCTCGTCCACAAAAGCGCTGCATATAGTATCAAGCTGAGTATAGACGGAGCATGAGACTGAACATACATTGTTAGAAACTAGGTCATGGCACTGGCTAATAGCTTTGAAACATATTTTAATTGTTTCATACCTCTATATACAAACTATTTGATTTGTATAGTTTGACAAACTTTAAAATTTTAGTAAAATATCATAGGGTTAATGTAAATGATTGTTTATGAACCTGACCTGTTGCCTTCTCATCAATAATGTCTCAGAATTACATATAATAAAACACATTCAAGCAAAAATAGCAGACTATTGACCAAAACAATGTTTTTTAAATGTAAAATAATTTATCGCAGAGAACAAATTATAATTAACATCTTGATATTATCGAGACACAAACGTATATTGATATAATATTCGGTGTACTCACAACAAGTATAAGAGTCAGGGCTCCGTTGGCCGTGCAGAGGTAAGACAGATGGCAGTAGACGGGGGCGAGGGCCCGCGGGCGCGGCGGCGGCGCGCGCGAGTAGTGCGCGTGCGAGTCCCACGAGCGGTCCGTGAGCTCGGTGCCGGCGGGCGAGCGGCCGCCCGCGCCCGCACACCCGCTGCCCGCGATCTCGAAGTCCTGCACGTCTTCGCCGCGGCAGCTCGTGGGCTCCAGCTCGCGGATCTCCTCCAACAGCAGCTCCACTTCGTCGGTCGAGTACAGCTCGCTCGCGGACACGTAGCGCGCCGGCGCCGCTTGCATATCACCCGCCTCGACCTCTACCGCCGAGCGCCGCCGCACCGGCCCCTCCTGCAAAACGGACACCGTGTACTCTCATTCGCGAATCCTTTTACTTTGCTTCAGAACACTGTCCGATACCTATCACGTGCGACATCGAGTCTCCGGCCGTTTGTAGATAACCGCATATTACAAAGAAGCGGCTACTAAATGTAAAAAAAAGTAAATTTGTAAACAGATTTCAAAGACGCTCTACGAACACGCCATGTTTGTTATCATAGTTTTTTTTTAAACAAAACCATGTAGTGGATGGCGAAGAAATAGCCCGCTTGTCTATGTTTCAAATCGGATACTTGTCACTTAATATATTTGCATATTAATTTACAAAAAATGTTTTTCACTACTTTGTTAATTTTATTTAAATGCTATTCATAAGTTTATATTACCAAAAATGCAATTATAACAATTTCTATTACTCAAATTCAAAGTCAACTTTGCTAACTAGCACAAGTACAAAGATATCGTAACCTTGTTTTTATACTTTTGACTCAGTCCCATTTTCATTGATATTATAAATTCAATAATAGACCAGTGCTGATAGCTTTTAAAACCAAATTAAATTATAGTAGAATGAAACCCGTTAGAAAAGGAAGGGAATATTATAAAAATTAAAGGAAAAATTTCCAAACGATATCGAGTGTCATTTCATTAAAAGGGAGATGATTATTTTATCCAAAATCGGTACTGCAAGTAAAAAACTTATATTTTTTTCCCCCTTGGGAAAATAGAAATTTCAACGAACAGAAAACACATTTTTTTTTAAAATGCTGATATTTTGACGGGTGATTTTTCGATTGAAAATGAGGCTGATTTTTCAGTATTTATTGAAAATAAGCTGAAGAAATAAATATTTCTTATCAAATAAATTACAGTGCATTTCGGAACATTGAAAGGAAAGTTTTCACCAAATTTCGTGACAAAAAATTGTTTTTTGGAAGAGATAAAAATAAAAAACCATAAACTTGGTTTTTCGAATTTTTTGCATAAAATTTGAGGTTATGTGAAAAAAATGTTATTACAAAAGTTTTTCATCTTTTTATTACCTACAACTTTGCCTTATATTCTTTTTCTGTAGGACTTTCAGTTTTGCCGGAAATAGAGAAAACCCATTTTTTACCCTTCCATCCCCATACCCTTCCCGACTTCAGGTCGCCGGTAAATTATTTTTCCTTTAATTATTATAATATTCCCGTCCTTTTTCTAACAGGTTTCATTCTACTATAATTTATTTTCATTTTTCATTGTTTTTAAAAGCATCTGCACTGGCCTATAATGAAGCCAGTATTGTTTCGTTCCTAGGGGCCCTCTTACTAGTTAGATCGAGCAAGAAACTAAAATATTTGGTCGTTTTAAAACTAAAAATGTAAAAACCTCTTAATACATTCATATATTTATTTAAACACTTATTTATTAATATATTTGTAATAAAATTTCATAAAAAAATATTTATAGAATAAAATAAAAAACAAAGTATGGTTTTATAAAGACAAAGTAACCAAGTATTCGTCATATCATAAGCATTTGTCATATTTAAGTTACACAATTCTCGAGAAATCTTATGTAAAATATTGAATGAACTAACTGAATTTAATGAACGGAAAAAAACCGTGATAATTAAGTCTCCCATTGGGGTCTGAATAACTTGGTCAGATACTCCATACTGACGATCGATTAAAAACTCAGTAAGACCAAGTTTCTGTGTTTACTTAAAAGCTCTACCGAATTCCTATCTCTTTACCCCTCCTCCTCGGCCTGATGTAATGCGACATGCGTTGTACGGGAAGATATTTTTGGCGACGTAACATTTTACATTAGAAAATTATTTTACATGATGTAATTTACCATCTATCCTCATTCTTAAATCATAGTTTTCATAAGTCAATTAGCCTTATATTTGTTGTGATACGGTAATTCTTATAACTAGTACTGCGGATGTTAATTAATAGAGACACTTACAAGTAAATCGTTATAAAAATATTTGTCGTTGAATTTAAAACTTTTTTTGTTATTTATTAACCCTGAGAACATGTAATAATGATCCTAACTCTTTTTATTAAGTCTGCGGGGAACTTACATTTAAAAAACAACGACGCATTTTTACGAATCTTGTGTTGGAGTGTTATCAAGAATGTTTTGGTTTTTCTGTCGCCAATCAAGACAAATCCTAGGCTACTCGTCTGCTGTATAACGTGTGTGAAAAATTTAACTGACTGGAATAGAGGTGTACGCCGTATGCCATTTGCTGTACCCATGATATGGACTGAACGACGAGATCCCGTTACAGATTGTTATTTTCGCCTCATTGATATAAAAGGTATAAATGACAAAAAGGAAAACACAGATTTTTACCCCAATTTATCTTCGGCTCTAAGACCAGTCTCTTATTGTAAAAAAGGATATAACTAATACCAGTTGTAAGTAAATCTATAGAGAGCGACAATTCACAACCGTCAACTTCAGGTCAATGTGTTGGAGAGGACAATGACTTTGAGTTTGAAGAAATTGTAAAACGAGTCACATGTGATAACTGAAGGAGACCTAAATGATTTGGTTCAGGATTTAAATTTATCAAAAAAGCAGTTAGAACTACTAGGATCCCATCGAAAACGATAGAATTTGCTACATCATAATACGAGAGTGTTGGTTAAGTAGTGAGAGTTAGGTAACGAGCTACTATTGTCATATTAAGGATTGGGTTGCAACATTTCTCTTAAATTACATTTTTTAGACTCTCACCTGGATGTTTTCCTGATAATTCAGGGGCTGTCAGTGACGAGCATGGTGAGAGACTCCATCAGGAAATTTCTAATATAGAAAAGCTGTACCAAGGCAAATGGGGCCCCATTCTATATTAGGACTGTTAGCAGCTTAATGCTGGATAATTAAAAGAGACCAACCAGAAGCTAAATACTCGAGAAAATCTTAGATTACATTCAGTCGTTTAGAAAAAAAACTTTTTATTTACTATATTCTTTTTTTTTATTAATTTTTTAATTACTCAATAGAAAAAAATTCTTGGCCAGCAACTCTTTTTTAACTGTCTATTTGGTCTTATCATTACCAATGAAAGTAAAAAATAACAAAAAAGTCTGTGTGGCATTAAAAAGTTAAAATTTTGTTGACTAGTGTTATTAATGAATATCTTACAACAGCAATTTGTAAATGTAACAGGGGATTCAAAATAAACACATTTTGTTTGTAAATTTATTGATAAACGAACAAAAAAAACTAACAACGACTGATTGAATCTTAACAAATATTCTCATGAAAATGATTCGAAACTAACTTATAGCTATTTGGATAAAGCACATTCTGAGTCAGATTTGGAATAGGTATTACAAAACTCCTTGCTACCTAGACTGCAACCGGAAGATTTGTAGTGTTTTTACAAAAAATAAATTAATAATACTTATACAATACTAGGAGAAACTTTATAATATAGCTACCTATAAATCAGTTTTCGTCACTTTTTCTTACATTAATATTTATGTCATATAAATCTTATAAAAATTATCGGCATACATAACATTTATATGTACAGGAAATCACAGCACTTGTATTATTTTTATAACAATAATCTTTAAACCAATATTTGAGGTACCTTTTCGCTACATCACTTGATCCCTTAACACAACATTTTATTGACTTACGAACTAAAAAAAAAAAACAACAATATAATAATCATACACTCATACAGTGCAACTGTAAAAGGTTCAATGGCCGAGGTATTTTCGGAGATATTTTTTATTTAAAACACAAGCTCGGAGATATTATCATGAGCTTCACTCACAGAAAAACTACTAGTCTGTCTCAAAGCCCGGGGGCGGTCGCAGGAGGCTGTAGTATGTGGGGGACGGGAACCCTCTCCCCTCGGAGTTCATTGAGGACGACGAGGAGTGCGGGGAGCGCGGCGGCGCGGGGGGAGGGGCCGGAGGGGCGGGGACCAGCGCGCGGGACATCGCCTCCAACATGAACCGGTGAGCCGCGGCCGGGTCCACGCGGCTCAGGACACAGAAGGACTCGCACTCGGCCGCCGACAGACACACGCCGGCGGGCGAGGGGGCAGGGGGAAGGGGACGGGGAGAGGGGGGACAGTCAGCGGGAGGCAGGGGGGGCGGCACGTGGCGGCGGTAGTCGTCCACGAAGTCCAGGGCGATGCCGTCCCGCAGGTAGGCGTGCACCTCCGCGAAGCTGGGCGTGTCTCCCCCCTCCAGCGCCTCGAACCTCGGGTACAGGTAGCACTCCGACGTCTGCGAACCACCCGCACAGTTAGTACTTAAAGAGAGTGCACACTGCACAGGGTGGCGGGGACCATCGGGTCGGAGCAACATCTTTTTACCACAAAATATACCACAATACCTCGGCCATCGCTCTTATAATCGTTTAATATTGTAATAACATGAGGAGCGACATGGTTGAGTATATCACGTAGTAAAATACACATTATATCTTATATATACGTCAAAGTGAGGTGTATTCCTCAGGTCATTGAGTACACAGACGGGCGAGAGTGAGGCGACGCTGCAAGACTCTTGTTCCCGTGCTCACGACGCTCTGTGTCACTGTGGAGGGGGGCGCGGGAGTGAAGCTCCTCAAGCGACGCAACAACATACGGCTGGTGACACCTCCCTCGTGAGCCGTGATAGAGACAGACTTATTCAGAGTTCCCAATCGCTCGGTCGTGTAGGAGAGTTCGTCCCCTTCACCGTCACTGTCCTCCTCCCCGGCCGACCACGTGTCCAGTGAGCGCGGTCCGCGGCCCACCGTCTGCGAGGCTGACTGAGACACCTCAGTCTCGTCACTGGAGCCAGCCTCCTCGCCGTAGCGGAGTATGTCGAGCAGCAGCGGCCGCGTGTGAACCGAGGAGGGGTCGTCGTCCTCGGAGGACGAAAGCGGGGTACTCACAGGGTGGGGCGCGGGGCGGGGGTCGGCGTGCCCGGAGCGGACCAGCTCGGCCGCCAGGCAGCGGTCGTCGGGCGTGGAGGTGTCGATGAGCAGCACCTCGAGCGCGCGCTCCCGCCCGTGTGTGGCCACCACGTTGGCGACAAGGGGCCGGTCGCGCACCAGGCGCAGGAAGTGGGTCGAGGAGGCGTGCGGCCAGCGGCGGCCGGCGGCGGGTGGCGCCACCCCGCCCAGCCGCGCGCGCACCGCCTGCGCCTCCAGCGCCGCGTACCGCCGCAGCAGCACCCGCAGCCCGCCGGCCGCCACGCGCTCCACCGTGCCGTAGTCCACGTGCCGCACCTGTAACACGCGCCTCGTGAGTCCGGCCGCTCCCTCAGTAGTCAGCGGCCCGCGTGTGTCTCCTCCCTCACCTTGACCGTGTCGTGGTCGAGGACCCTCACTATGATGGACCGGTGCCAGTCTCCGCGGTAGAGGCTGGCGCAGTACTGTCCCACACGCACGGCGCCGAGGGCCAGAGCGCGGTCTCGTCCCTCGCCGTAGTAGTACTTGCTGAGGAGAACATCAACGTTAAGTTAATAAATGTTTAGGTACAATGATAGGGCGTAGTACAATGGAAGGCGGATCCAAAAAATATTAATAAACGGTTGGATTACACTAAATTTAGAAACAAACTGAATAAACTAATAATTGAGACAAAAAACAAATATAAACAGTTAGAAATAAAAAAATGTGACGGGGATTATAGGAAAATATGGTCGCATATTAACTCTTGGCTTGGAAGAGAGAAAGCAAGTATTGACGATGTGATAATAAAATTTTTAGGTAGAACTGAAAGTATTAGACAAATCTGGACCAATTTTTGGTAAAACTTTTACAGAGGAAATTAAAGGAATTAAACATAAATGTGACTTAAAATTCTTTGATAGGAACACTTATGTACAGCCGAGTCTAGTAAATTTTAGATACATTAAAGTTACCCCATTTCAAGTGCAAAAATGTATAGACCAGTTATCGTTCGAAAAGGCACCGGGTTCGGACATAATCAGGGCAAAGGATATTAAATATGTAAGTAAACAGATAAGTAGTGTTATTGCTGGGTTCATTAATTTAAGTTTAACTACGGGTGTTTATCCCGATCAGTTGAAAAAGGCCATCATACGTTCAATTTATAAATCGGGAAATCATTTGGATTATTCTAATTACAGATCAATAGCCATACTGTCAATTATTGATAAAATTGTAGAAAAGATTATTGTAGGACAAATTAGTAAATTTTTAGAAAATTATAATGTGCTATCAGACGCTCAACACGGTTTTCGAAAGGGGCGCAGCACTGTGACAGCCCTTACGGCCTTTGCTGATTACATAAACCGCTGATTAGACTCCGGTGAGCAAGTGATAACGGTTTGTATTGACTACAAAAAGGCTTTTGACACATTGGACCGCGATGCCTTGCTTAAAGCGATGGACGAATGCGGGATACGTGGTCCTACAAATAAATGGTTTCAAAATTACCTAAGTAATAGGAAAATACAGACCGTTGTTGCTGCAGTAGCCGGGGGAGAAATGGATGTTAACCTAGGCGTGCCCGCCGGATCAGTATATGGACCGGTGGGGTACTTAATGCACGGAAATAGCGTTTCTAACGTTGTAAATAAGTGTCGGGTGTACATGTATGCAGATGACATGTGTTTGACATATGCCTCAAAAGATATATCTGTTGTACAAAAATACATACAAGCTGATTTTGAAAACATCACTAAATGGGCACATGATAACGGAATAATCATAAACGTTGAAAAAACCAAATGCATGTATATACTCACTCGCCTTATAACGAAAGATCAAAAACAGTAACTAAACAAGATCTTGAAATAATAGGGCATACCTATGACTGTCTACATGACAATAAAAGAATAAACTGTAATTGCAAAAAATTAGAATACGTTAGTACATTAAAGTACCTAGGTCTAAAAATTGATAAAAATTTTAATTGGAAATCGCAGGTTATAGATATTTGCAATAGGCTAAGATGTGTCCTGGGAAAATTCTACCACTTGAGTAAAGTATTAAATAAAGACACTTTACTACGCCCTCGCTGACTCCATAGTCAGTCTAACTGAGTATGGACTCAGTTACGGACTTAGTGTGTATGGACGTACATTCATAACATACTTAAGGGACATAAACCAATTGCAAATACGTTTAATCAAATATCTAGTTACTAAAAATATTTAAAAAGAATGTCATGGGGACTATGAAAAATTATTTGCAATGTGTAAGATACTACCAGTAGACATTAAAGTGAAATATTTGATAGGCATCGAAAATTTTAATATAGGTAAATATAGGGAAAATAGGGACAATAAGTACAACATTAGGAGGGTTGGGAAAAAACATTTGTTGAGCCGGTTGTGATAGTTCTTAAGGTTTTACTTTTTTTATTCGTTATTATTTTGCTTTATTCTTTATCGTTTAATGCCAAATTTTTGTAAGTAGTTTTAATTTTTGTTGTTTTTATCTTTGTTTTAGTTATTACTGTGTTTCTGCTTGTATATATTTATTCAGTTGTAATAGTTTTAAGGTTTTACGTTTTTATTTGTTATTATTTTGCGATATTTTACATTGTTTAATGCCAAATTGTTGATATAAGTAATTAGTTTTAAGTTATTTAGTATTTTATTATTTGTATTAAATATTTTCATTTAAAATCATAATTGTTAGTAATGTAGTATATTAATGTAAGAATGTTTTATAAGTAAAAAAATAGGTTCATAATTGTTTAATGAGTGATTCTTGCTTACAAACTCTCGAGTTCGGCAAGATATTGTTTGTTAATTTTTATACAAAAAAGTAAATAAATAAAAAAAGTAGTGTTCCCGTGTGTGTACTCCCCGCCACACGTAGATGCTTACTTCATGTCATCCATAATCTCCTCCATGGCTATGTTGTACTGGTCCCCGAGCCGCAGCAGCCAGAAGTGTGAGGGCGAGTACACCTCGGCCACGGCCACCTGCAGCATGTCCCCGGGCCGCACGTGCTCCAGCGACACGCTCGGGATGCTGTCCAGGAAGTGTACACAGTCTGCGGGGAACACGTCCGGCTCCTGGGGACACATATAAACATCAGCTCCGCCAGTAAGGAGTGTGTAGCGACTCATGCTCGTAACTCACGAAGTCTATCCCGGGCAAGGCGTCCTCGGGTAGTGCGGGCGTGTGTGCTTGTGTGTGTGCGGGGGGAGGTCGCGCGGGGGCGGGGGAGGGCGGAGGTCGCGCGGCGTCACTGAGCAGCCAGTCGTCAGTGAGAGCTCGTCGCGACACGTGCAGCCCGTCCACCTCACAGGCGGCGCTCAGCACGGACGTGTACCCCACACGGGTGTAGTTCAACTCGCGGTTGTAACGCGCCCTACATATAGTAACATGTCAACCATCATCAATACAGTACAAGAAATTAATAAGAAAATAGATCCTGTTATATTAATTCTGTTAACGTCCTAACCTGTAGAGCCTCATGAGATCGGTGCATGTCACTCCGTTAGGATTCTGGATCACAATGTCCTTAATTTCTTTATGAAGTTGTTCTTTTTGAGCTCTCCTACTACTTGTACCTGAAATGCAAATTCATTGTAAGCCACAAATAAAATGACTGGAGACTCCAACTCATACTAAGGCTAGCTTGACTTATGTTAACAAATATTTAACAACACGTGAACAATATACTGTTACAAGGGACACCATCCTTGCCATACTAATTATCACATACTTAATACTATGATCCTTAGAATTATTTTTATGACTGTTTACAATTAATTATAATACTGAACCACTGTTACTTTGTATTGGCAGCATTTAAGTATCACTCTGTACTGGAAAACTATAAATTACTGGAGGTCACACTGAACATTGAAAAATAAGACTGAAATTATAGCTCAAATAAAACTTATTTATCATGCTAAATGTAAAAAAAGCATACAATTTTCTTTGTATGCTCAGTATTTATTAATAATTAGTATATTACTTGATGAACTGACTCTTCCTGAGTCACCATCTTTGTCCGAGTCTTTATCAATGTTTGAAAGCTGACAATCAAATAGAGGTGTTCTCTTCTTAAGAAAATTTTGAAGGGCCGTCTGTGAACACGGTGCGAACTCTTTTATTTCTGTATTATTAATCTTTTTCTGGAAAAAAATAAAAGAAATTTATAATTATTTGTAATAGTTGAATAATAATTACTAAAGCATCACCCAATATCACATATCATTACCTCTTTATCCTCAGCTTGTTTATGGACTGTTGGAACTTCTTTTGTAATTTCTTGTTTTATTTTTATTTCATTCTTTAACACAGTTGTTTCCTGATTTCTTGCTGTTTGCCGTGCATTGAAAGTTTCAACAATTAGGTGAGATTCATTTTGCTTAAGTATATTCTTTTGCACACTCCTTCTTTTACCTTTTCTGGAAAAGGCATAATTATTTAGTATATACCTCTGCCTTTTTATAGTAACAATTACATTTATAAAAATAGATAAAGCTATTTGCTACTTACGATTTCACATTGTTGACTCTTTGTTTTTGTACAAACTTATCTATGTGTTTTAAACTATCAGGAACAATCAATGTCAACACAGGATTCCCCTTCGGCCCCTGGAACTAAACAAAAACAGCTGTATAACATGTATACATTTAACAAACATCATGAGATGGATTACCATATAGCTATAATATTTTTTTACATTTTCTTGTTAATCTACATCTAAAAAGAATAATATTAATTAAATAATAACTTTTTCAGTATTATACATAAAATAAAAATATATTTACAAATTAAACTTACATATTATATCATGTTTAAATATTTTTGTATTAAAACATTATGTTATTTAGTACTGTTACTTCTGACATATTTTAATATAGAATCTGGTATATCATCTCCTATTAGTTTGAAATTTTATTTTTTTGAGAAAGATGGCAAACAAACAGATGGCCTACTTAGTGAGTAGTCACCGTTGCCCATGGACATAAGAGATGTTGTGGATGCATTGCTAGCCTTGATCGTTGAGGAAGAGGTAATAACAAAATGTCAGGGAAGAGTGGGAACAGGGAAGGCATGTCACATAATAGCACAAAATTTTAACCATATGTGTTAAGATTGTAACAATATTACAGATTAATAGAGTATCTGTATGAGTTATACTTACTAAAAAACAATCACTGAAATATTCTTTAAGAAATCCTACGGGTTCCTTGTGACCGAATTTGGCTAAGGGCAGTTGATTCCCGACCATCATTCTGTAGTCTCTCATTAAAGTACGGACATCGACCTCCGTGGCGCTCGACACCACTAGAGACCTCAACACGGACTTTAACTGTTTCAACTCCTCATCCATTTTGCAGAAACTATCATTAAAGATGAGATAAATATTTAATAGAAATAGACATAAATTATGATGATTGAATGTTAATTACAGATGCTGTGGTGGCTTCACCACTAACTTACCGTGGGATATTTTAATCTCTCAGTAAAATAATGTATTATACACATGCGTTATATGTTACAGTTTTGAATTTCTTGGAAAGATATTTTCTTCCATCGCATACCGTCACTATTGTGATAAGTTAATTGCTTTTATTTCGTTTATAACAACATGCTTACTTATCATAAAACAAATATGAATACTGGATGTCTTAGAAAATAAAACCTGATAATAAAGATTTTAAAACTGAAAAGTGGTAATAACTAATAAATAAATATTAAACAGGAACATACAGTCCTTCCCCTCTCAAAATAAGTTGTAACCGATAGTAAATAACTACTTCATACTAACAATAATTCAAATCTATTTTTATTATATATTGTATAGACAACCTAAGGCATGTACATTGTAATTTTAGTTAAAAATTGGTAATAAGTTAATGAGTTAAAAAGTTAATTAAAATTTAAGTATTTAGCAAAACATTAATCAATTATTATAACCCTTACTGGAAACAGAATTTAATATATATAAATAAACATAATCTGTGCTGTATTGAATTGTCATACGGCACTGTCAGTCAAGAGTGACATATTTTAATTTTTGATATTAAGACGAAACATTCGAAACGCATTCAAATTACGTAAGGGTAAACACTTAAAAATCCCTTCATACAATGTCTTTCTTTCTAAAACGCACCCTTGGTGCAGGACGTAACCTAAGTCGGGCAATTTTAAATACTAACCAATACCCTGGTCTCCAACTTGTAGCATCAAAAGCTGACCAAGTTCAACCTCAAGTTGAAACTCGACCGACAGTTGCCAAATTTGATCCGCTGCAAAAAGCTCACCTCGTAGATTTCGGCAAATATGTAGCTGAATGCCTGCCTAAGTTCGTGCAGAAAGTTCAAATTACAGCAGGCAACGAACTCGAAGTTCTGGTGCCGACAGATGGTGTCATCCCTGTGCTTCAATTCCTTAAGGATCATCACAATGCGCAGTTCGCAAGTCTCGTGGATATTGGTGGCATGGATGTGCCCAGCCGACCTTATAGGTTCGAGATTATCTACAACCTTCTGTCACTGCGTTACAATGCTCGAATTCGTGTGAAAACTTACACTGATGAACTGACACCCATCGACTCAGCTTGCGAAGTGTTCAAGGCTGCCAACTGGTATGAGAGAGAGATCTGGGACATGTACGGTGTCTTCTTTGCTAATCACCCCGACTTGAGAAGAATTTTAACTGACTACGGATTTGAGGGTCATCCATTCAGAAAGGACTTTCCTCTCAGTGGTTATGTAGAGGTGCGTTACGATGATGAACAGAAAAGGGTTGTTGTTGAACCATTGGAGCTGGCGCAGGAGTTTAGACGCTTTGAGTTAAGTGCACCCTGGGAACAGTTCCCAAACTTCAGAGGAAATCCTGTGTCTGAGGATGTGGTGGATAAAACTGATGACCAACCCAAGAAAGAGTAGACGAGACATACATTATTATTTTTTAGTGAAAACTATTAAACTGTTGTAGTTGACTCTGTTTTTTATTGCAGTAAAAAATTGTAAACTACAGATGAAAGGGAATTGTTGATTTATAAGTCATCATTAGTGCATACTTATAAGATGAAATAATAAAATTATTACAATATTTTATATTTAATTAAACCAGTTGTTGATCATAAAATTAAACATATTAAAATGAATGTGGGCAAAATTAATTTTTTTTTCAAAAATATTTTCCTAGTTCTCAATAGGTAATTCCTGTAACATTTAAGTTGTTATCTGAAATTGAACCAGATAGGTCTTATAACTTATTGATATCTAAGACTAAGACTTACAGGTATTCCTTAAATAAAACTAATATTTATTTATTTATTTTATTAGGAAGCCAACATAATGTACAATGATCTTACAAAGTACACTACAATTAAAGGCTAACTCAGCATGCATTCACAAATATATATATATAACAAAGCAATGTAATCTCAACAAATGCTTAAAAATAGAAAATTAAGGAAAAACTTATATGCATAAAAATATCATTACTAAACTTTGTAAATATAAAAATAAAACAAAAACAACACTATGCTTATCTTAAAAAATTCAAACAATGATATAGCTAGTTTAAAACAAAATAAAAATTATTAAATAATATAGAATAAAGTAGAGCCCTTTTGTAAGAGGTATATGGATTACTCCGCAGATATTTTTACAATAAGTATATTAGGTATGTTAAAAGTTTAAAATTATTTTTTATTTTTGTTTTATAAAATTTTAGATTATCATTATATATATATTAATACCAACTTTTTGAGAAAAGTTATTATAAGGTCTAAAAGCCCTACTTGAAGGTGCCTTTAGTCCTAAATTTGTTCTTGCAAACCGACATTTGAAAGTTGGTGTATTTGTATGCCTCGCGTTAGGTCTCGACTCTCGGTACTACTATATTAAATTCTTTTAGTAATTGAGGACAATCAATGTTACCTGATATTATTTTATGTAAAAAGCATAAGTCCAGCATATCTCTACGATTTTTAAGCGTTATCATATTGTAATGTTTTAATAAAGCATCATAATTATTAACCATAATCGTGTTTCTATCTTTGAATCTTACAAATTTTAGCAATTTCTTTTGAATTCTCTCTATCCTGTCTATATGAACTTGATAAAAGGGACTCCATGCTACGGAATAATATTCTAATTTACTTCTTATAAACGAATTAAATAATGTTATTATAGAATCTGATCTTTTAAAGGCTTTCGTACTTCTTTTTATGAATCCTAATATTTTAAATGTTTTACTGGCCAATTCGTATACATGTGGAATAAAGCTCATTTTAGAGTCAACAGTTACACCTATTTCAGTATTAAGATTGAATAAGTAATGATATCTAAGATATTTGCCTGTATTTAAACTAAACTGAGTTTCGGATAATATTCGTTTTTAATTATTTTATATATACACTAGCTTTCCGCCCGCAGCTTCGCTCGCGTGGAGTTCGGTTACATCGTGTTTCCAAGAGAACCTTTCAAAAGTCTAGGATGAAAAATTTCCTACGTTCTTTCTCAAGGTCAACTCTATCTTTGTATCAAATTTCACTAAAATCAGTTCAGTGGTTTAGGCGTGAAAACGTAACAGGCAGAGTTACTTTTGCTTATAAAATTAGTAGGGATGATCCCGACGTTTCGGTTACTAGTCCGCAAAATTTATTCATTGATTTTCAAAGAGATCGCAGTATTACAAGATTTTCATTCAATCGATCAACTGATCGACCAACTGATCGTCCAACTGATCGACCAACTGATCGTCCAACTGATCGTCCAACTGGTCGACCAACTGATCGTCCAACTGATTGACCAACTGATCGACCAACTGATCGACCAACTGGTCGACCAACTGATCGTCCAACTGGTCGACCAACTGATCGTCCAACTGGTCGACCAACTGATCGTCCAACTGATCGACCAACTGATCGTCCAACTGATCGTCCAACTGATCGACCAACTGATCGTCCAACTGATTGACCAACTGATCGACCAACTGATCGACCAACTGGTCGACCAACTGATCGTCCAACTGGTCGACCAACTGATCGTCCAACTGGTCGACCAACTGATCGTCCAACTGGTCGACCAACTGATCGTCCAACTGATCGACCAACTGATCGTCCAACTGATCGTCCAACTGATCGTCCAACTGGTCGACCAACTGTTCGACCAACTGATCGTCCAACTGATCGTCCAACTGGTCGACCAACTGATCGACCAACTGATCGTCCAACTGGTCGACCAACTGATATCAGTCAACAGTTATACCTATCTTTTATTTGGTTAACTCTATTTAAAATAGATTCATTTATCTTGTAGTCATAAATAATATTTGATGTTTTTCGGCTGAACGTTAAATGTAACATTTGCTTTGATTTAAATTCATATGATTTTCGCTACACCACTTTGCAAATCTGTCTAATTCTAACTGTAACAGTTCCGAATCCTGTAAACTAACTAATATTTTCGGATGTACTATTACGTTTTTTTCTTATTTTAAACCACATACATTTCGGTTACTCTGCATTAGGAGACATTTTCATCTTCTATCCAAAGGAACCAAAATGTCGGGAGAATGTGGTTAAAAATAATAAAACAACGCCTAGCAATCCAACAATATTAGTTTGATTTAGAGGTCTTATTACTGTTTGTTTTTGTATTAACACATTTTAACCTTGAATAGTTAATAAATTTAAAATTGTGGTTACAAGTTGTTATTAAATACCAATATATTAAATAATACAAGGGATAAAATATGTTGAGGAACAAACAAGGATTACTTCATATAATTTCTAAAGAGTAATTGAAAGATGATTCTCATAAATCAGTTATTTATTCAACTATATATGAAACACAAAGATATAATGTATGTTGTCAACGCCTGTATCTGTATCTCTTGAAGTGGAACCATAATTGGAAGATGTTGTTGTGGAAGTGACATCGGAAGCCTCTCTTGTAGGAGTACTCCCACTCGCGGTTCACTATCTTGAAGGCGATGTCCTCATAGGGAGGGCCCGCGTGGAAACGAAGAACAGCAAACTCAGGGTTGTCAGAACACGGTTTCTGGAATTTATATACATTTATATTAATACTAGTTTTCGCCCGCGACTTCGTCCGCGTTTATTTCGCGTAAATAATCAGATATTGGAATTTATATAGTTTTTTTTTTCTGTTTACAACACAATTTAATATCCTATATATCTTTCTTCTGGTTCTAATCTATCTCTCCACTAATCTTCATCCAAACCCGTACAGCCGTTCTTGAGTTATAAATAGTGTAACTAACACGACTTTCTTGTATATATAAAGATATCAGATTTATGAGGCACTCGATTGCAGCTAATATATGAAATATTTTTAATATAGTTACACTTTTATATAATGGGAAATATTTAAATATCATAGCTTAGTTTACTAAGTCTTTATATTATATATATGCATGTAGCTTTAATATTGGAATAGATACTAACAAGTGAAAACTCAGGGGTGGCACTCTTGTCGATGAGGTCCGGGTAGAAGATGTTGAACTTGTATCCTTGAACGATCTTCGGCGGCGGGTTGTCCATGTCGTAGTGAGTCTGGTTGTATTTGTTCCACTCGAAGCCGGTGTGGACTCTGCAATGAAATACGTAACAATATATAATAATATATTAAAATGACAGTACATTGATCAGTACACACGATTTTATAGTAATAGTTGTTAAATATGGTTTATTTTTCTAATTAATTCATAATTGAAGTGGGATCATTGAAGTGCCTATTACTTGAGCTATCCATTCTTAAGGTTCCATCCAGTAAAAGAGACTAGCCAAAACATTGTTACAATACTATGTACCACATTTAGAGCTGAAATTTTTTATATAAACATAATATTATTTACTACATATGCACAAAACCGGCTTTTCTTCATACATTCGATTATCCGGATTTTCGATTATCCGAATGCCTATCGACAACAATTAGTCCGGTTAATCGAGTTTCTACTGTATGTGTATACATTCAGGAGGAAATGGTTACATAACGAACAGTGCAGGTGTCGCTAGTGTATGCACCTGTTGAAGTATCTTGGTTTCCTGGGTCTGTACTTGTCAGCCCACAGGCACGGTTGGTCGGGCAGCGCGTGCTCCACACTGAACTGAGCGGCGCCCGGCTCGCCCCCCTCCATGGAGCGCCTCGCGGCCGCCTCCAGCGCGCCCGTACTGGTGCCCGCTGACTCGCCTGCCTCCGGGACCTGTCGGACAATCATCAACATTATGTCAAGCTATGACCTTAACTTGAATAAATACGAAATATTCAATAAAAGCTTCTCAGGTCAGGGTATTTCCTTTTCCGAACCGGTGGTAGTGTCTCAAGTGACCATCAATAAGAAAGTGTAATGCTTCTATGTGTGGACCTGCACTACATTTATTTTTGTCTATATAAATTAAGGATAGTCTACATAAATTTGTAATCCTTTTTTATCTATGTACATACGTCACTTCCTTTTCATTTCAAATTTGTATATCATTCCGCTACGATTTCTTGTCTTAGTAACATCTGTATCTTTAGATAAAAGTATTTAGCAAAACCAAAGAAGTTTTCTTTAACCTGTCTAAATACCGAACAAAGTGTGATGCTTCTATATTGAATAAAGTAATTTGAGTTTGAGATTGATATACACTGAACTCTAACTCGCGCCCTCCTACATATAGCGGTTCGGTTGTTATATTCGTGATGTATGTAGGTTTCGTGTTACGGAGACTCATTCACTCCGTGTGTGTTAAGTGTCGGTCGTGTTATATGAGCATGTATTACCTTAGCGAGCGTGGCCTTGTGTTGGTCGGCAGCGGCGGCCGCGTGTAGTCGGGCCCGCAGGAAGGCGAGCCTCTGCCGGTCCTCCTCGGGCTCCAGCAGTATCGTGGCAGGCTCCAGCGAGGAGGGCGCCAGGTACTTCGGGGAGTAACTGCCGCACCAAGACTCACCCTCCACCTCCGCCTCCTCCGCCTCGCTCTCCGGCCGAGGGGACTTCTGCTCTGGACCGGCGCTATATAAAACGAACATATCTTTATTATAATGGGTCTCAAAAAGATAGTAAAATTTCAAAAAATGCAAAAATCTACTCTCTATTAAATAGTGTACAATTTTATCGAAACGCCCTGTGTCTACCAGAGCCTGGCATAAACTTATAATTATGTGATTACGGTTTTGCCTATAAAGTATCGAAATTGAATAAGTCATTGACTTATTCCTTTTTATAAATGAACGAAAAAAAATTGTCCCTACATTTAATCGGCAAATGAACTGATTTATTTATTTTCTTGATTAAAATTCAAGATCTATCTAAAACGAATCTAACTGCATCAAAATTGACATATCCGAAAAATGATGACTTATTCCCTTTGGTAAATAACTGATTCGTTTATAAAATAAACCAACAGTCCTCGAGTCACTATCTCCACAAGGAGCAGGTGTGTATGAGAGTGTGTGTGTGAGTGAGTGTGTGTGTGTGTATGTATATATTTGCCACCCTCACCCGTCTCCCTGTGTGTGTGTGTCGTCGTGTTCCGCGTGTTCGTCCGCGGCCACTCCCTGTTCCCTCTTCAGCAGCTGCAGCTTGCGGCGGAGGTTGTTCTGATGCCGGTCACGGAGACGAGCTCGTGCCATGTGAGCTATAAACATATAATGAATTGATATAAATTGTATATGTTCATTATTTAAACATAATGACTTAAACAATCTATGTAACTATTGTGATAAGAATTTTTTGACCTTAAATGTTATAAAGTGCAACACCATATCGTTTACCCGGAAAAAAATCCACAAATGTATATGTATAATTTAAATAACATTTCTTTAAATAGGGTGTTTGAGGTTAAAGACCTAGGCATAGTTTTAGACTCTAAGCTTACTTATACTTCTCACATTTGTTACATAAAATAAAATCTTATCGAATGCTTGGATTTATTTTAAGAGTTGGTAGGGACTTCAGAAAGTGCTCAACTTTGGTTCTGCTCTATAACTCATATGTTCGGTCTTCCCTTGAATATACCTCTACCGTATGGAATCCTCAGTATAAAACTTATATAAATGAATTAGATTCCATTCAAAGAAAATTCTACAAACACATGTGTTATAGAGCTGTATCTTGTGCTAAAATACAACTCTTGTCTCCTCTTACTTTACGTAGACAAGCTAGAGACCAACTTTTCTTATATAAAATAATTAACAGTTTCGTAGATTCACCTTTCCTATTGTCTAATATTGAATTTAATTGTCCACGAATAAATTCTAGATATAAATCATTATTTAATGTGCCGTTCTGTAAAACAAAAAGTACTAATAATATCTTCTTATATCGTAGCTGCCAAAATTATAATAAAGTTTATTCAGATATTGATATATTATTCGAAAAAATGTATTCTTTTAAAAATAAAGTTAATAAGATTAATTTATGTATCAATTCATAGTTTGTTTTGACGTGTATTAATGTTTTGCCTGTAATTTTACTACCCGATGTAGCCATTAATGCCTTCAATTTTGTTTAATGTGTTTTGTTACTTCTCTTTTTTTATATTTTGTTTCGTTTAATTATATTTATGTTAGATTTTATTCATAACTGCCGATGAATTTCGTCAGTTTACGTTTTTAATGTTTGATTTTATGTATGTTAGTCTTTTTTAATTTTAATAATATGTGTCTATACTCCAGCCACATTCGATCTGGAATTTTAGTAAACAAACCATGAGTCATCATAATTAGGGTTGATACACTCTTAATAAAAAATAATAATTATTATAATTACAACTATATTCATTATAACACAATTTCCTGTTTAAGAACAAAAATTTTAATTTAATATTGAAATCAAAAATTTTATTTAGCCGGTCAATACATAATTTATATGAAAACTAGCTTAAAATAAAAGTTTAAAAATCTTTAATTACCACTATAATATTACTACAAAACTCACAACCCTATATTTTAATACTGACGTAAAGAAATCGCAGGTTTGTAACATTTGGAGTGTTTTTAAGCAATTGGCAGATTTAGGAAGGTATATAATAGCGATACAGGCTCTTCGTAATGGTGGTGTATATTTTCAGTCGTATTATAATGGTAGTATAACCACAACAGGTTAAGAATGTTAACATACACACAACGTTTCATCACACACAGATTACAAAAAAGACATCTTGTTTTGGCTAGCATAAATATAGCACTATAATCACTGTTTCACATATATTTACAATTTCTTCCAATATATATAAACAAATTTCAGATAAAATTTAATAAATTTTATTGCGGTTACATTTTAATTAATTAAAAAATATATATTTTTAACGCAAATAAAGTTAAACGAAACGTAACTACGTAATTTTGTTGCATCATAGCCCGCCATAATGTTTGTTTTGTTGTTAGCTTTGCTTACAATTCGCGAGTGTTTGATTCTGGTGTTCTTCCGTTCTGTTATTAATTGTTAGATTTTGTTATCGTTATTATGTTTTAATTCGTTATTGTTATAAGTTTGTTGTTATCAAATATTGTTTATATTAGATTACGATGAGTAATACTGAATAACCTGGTCCGAGTGGGATTGTATCTGTAACGAAATTCTAATATACCGAGTTAATTTCTGATATCATTTTAAAATTGGAGGTATTATTTTTGAGATCTACATTATTCCAGATGATCATAAGTATTATAATTATAACCAAGAATTAGTCTTTTGTCTTAAATATTTTATTATTAATCATCAATTTTAATTTTCATTAACATCAAAAATAATTGTTGTACATATTTCTAAAAATGTTTTGAGCATCTGCCTGACGTTGGTTGTTAAACAACGCTTTGTTATTAAACATTCCACATCGAATTTGGCTTGAGTATAATTACCAGTGGAAGCTTAGCTGATATATGTAATTTTGTATATTCATATCCCATAAGCTTATCTTACTGTTTGTTTCCCTAAAATAAAATAAAATATATTACATACTATAGAACTTGACCACTATATCCTTATTAATCCATCTATAAACAACTACCTCCTCTAGGAGTCATACTTCAACATGACAAAACTTTTTTCGAATTTATACTTTAAAGGGATTGTTATATTTTTTTACTACAAATATATATTGAGAGTTCGTTATAGATTTTTCACAAAATACGCCACGGTACAAAATGGTGTTCAAAAAAAGGGTGAAAATTAGAAAGTATTCCTACTCTTCTTCTTCTACCTGGCAATTTCCCAGCTTTAGCCAAGGTCTGCCTTACATGTTGTGAATAGTTTCGGCTAATTGTTTTTACGACCGGCCGCCTGCGTGACATCAAGTCTCTTTACTCTTTGGGAATGCATTAATCAGTGATGTCTAAATACTCTTAGAAAGTACATATGACTCGGAAAAATCACATTGGTACTTGTTAGGATCGAACCCGCACACTTATGTATGAGACGCCGGACTTTTGACCAGTAGGCCACCACTGACTAAGTATACCTACTATTTGGACTAATGAATTTATAATGCTATACCTTTCAGCTGGCTGAGCAGACTCTCCCAATAGTGTACGTCAAGGCCGGCGGTCCTGGCAGCCATCTTATGCTCGATGGCCGCCTGTAGCTGCAGTAAGGCAGCCGTGCTCTTCCCACGGAACACACCAGCCACGTCCTCAGCCACAGCGGCGTGCACTCCGTCCCGCCCGGGCGCCAAACGACGAAGCTTCACTAACTCCGACGAAACTATGGTCTGGACATCCTCCCAGTATGACTGGTTGACGTCCTGCTCTAACTCCTTGTACACCTGAAGTGTAATAGATATAGTGAGTATGCTATATCATAGAATTAAGTCTAGTGTAAAGTCTAATTTATAAAACATCTCATGTATACATCCAAATGTGGACCACCCATTGGCCCAAGCTTTCATTATGCTATGTTAAAATCTTCTTATATTATTAAATACGACTTAAAGCTACAAAGACGTTTCTTTTCAAACCCAGTAATTAATCACATTAGACACCTGCATATACAACAACATATTATAGTAGGTACATACAAAATCATCATCATCAGCCTATCAGAGCTCACTGCTAAGCAAACGCCACTTCTCACATGGAGAAGTATTGAGCATTAATCACCACACTTGCTCAAGATGGGTTGGCAATTTCAAATTTATAAATCGAAATTATAAGTCCAGGTTTCCTCACGATATTTTCCTTCACCGTCTGTCAGTTATGTCTAAATACTTGTAGAAAGTACATATGACTCTGTAAAATCACATTGGTACTTGCCAGGTTCCGAAACCGCACCCTCATGCACGAGAGGATAGCTTTTAACCTCTAGGCCACCTTATATTTTAATTGTATCGATTTATTTTAATTTAATGTAATTGGAACTGTAATGATTAATTGGAATTTTATTATTGGAATAGAAATAAGAAATAAAATGACCAACTCCTTCATGACCCAAAATGGAAATAATATAAAAAAGTAGAAATAAGTTATTTTACACTATAATCAAGTATGAAGGTGATGTATGCAAGAAAGATATAGTATACAGAATAGCAGGACCTAATAAATAATAGAAATAGAATGGAAGCGTAGAAAAATGTAAACAAAGGCTCTGACCACGTCAGAGGGAGCTATAAAGAATAATCTCTAGGCCACCACGACTATCCTAACCAAAACTCATTCAAATTCATAATCCTCTTAGAAAAATGTCCGTACCTTGATATCTTCAAGTAAGTCTTCCAGGTCTTGTGCGTGCAAACCGTTCAGGTACGTGTACGGTTCATGCATCTCCAGAGCATCCACACACTGCTCCGAGCTCACGTACCACGCGAGGAGGTCGATCGGCTTAGCTGTGACAGGAAACAATAGTCATTATAATACATATATATTGATACAGGCATAATGTAAGGAATTAATGTAACAAGAAGAATGTGGAAGAAAAGAAAGAACGGATATTAATGTGGAGGGATAGGAACGGATAGGAACGAGGTGACCGTTGACATGACGGCTTATAGACGAGAATGGAAAAGAACATGTTGTGCCGACCACACATACAGTGGGACAGGGCAGCGAAAAGACATAGGGATTATACATATCTGTCTATATATATTTATGACGCCTTGAAATGATACAATAATACTTTAATTATATTTCCAACCTCTTCCGTCTCTTATCCGTATCTGTGACCGCAGGCGGGCCTGCTGCAGATGGAACTCGTCCTCATGTCGGGCCCAGCTGCTGAACTGCGCGGCCTCGCGGGCCCGGGCCGCCGCCGCCGCCTCGGCCTCGCGGGCCGCACGCTCAGCCTCGCGCTCTAGACGACGCTGCTTCACCTACAACACGCATATAACTAGTTTTACCCCTGACTTCGTGATGAAGTTTAGAGATAAAATAACAGTGTGCATAAAAAATATGTAAGGTAATTAGTTTAGCTTTATTCTGTATCATGAGTTCATAAATAAGACAACTGCTATGCCCTGATCCCGCCGGTGAAAATTCCAATGACAAAGCATTTTGTAAAGTTGCATTAAGATTAATTAAGAAAGACCAAAAAACATTCATATTTCCTTACATTTCCCATAATCACAATATAATGAGTAGTTATAGAATAACAAATAATCTTTTATTTGTATGTCTGAACCGCTAGCTTGTTTTTCTTACAACAATAAAGTACTTGTATTAATTGATTGCAATCAATCCTCAAACTACTAACCTTCTCCAATTCAATTTTATTTTCCAATTGTTTCTGTCTGTTCAATGCCTCCAGTTCGTTGTGGGAGACATTCTTAACGCCTTCCTTAGCCAGTTTCTTAGTCCATACAAATGTGTCAGTAAGAGCTGAGTCTCCGAAGGGGTTGTCTTGATCAGTGTAACACTGGTACTCATTGTCCCACCCCATGCGTTCACGTCTCTTCCTTTCCTTTTCCTGCTTTTCTTTTAGGCGTCGAGCTCTGTTAATTATACATGAATTTATATACCATACTTACAGTGTGCATGCAATTGATCATTATAGTACATATCCATACTAATATTATAAATGAGAAAGTAACTCTGTCTGTCTGTCTGTTATGCTTTCATGCCTAAACCACTGAACTGATTTTAATGAAATTTGGTACAGAGATGGAGTTGACCTTGAGAAGGAACATAGGATAGTTTTTATCCCAGACTTTTGAAAGGTTCTCTTGGATATATCCGGACACGAAATATCCGAACTCCATGCAGGTGCAGCAGCAGGCGGAAAGCTAGTATAATATAAAGTAAGGTATATAACAATAAAAAGTTAAGTTATTACACCTATTATAAATATTATCCTCAACTGTTGCTCAAGTACAACTAGACCTCAAATTGATCTATTACACAGTGAATTAAACATATACATTACTTTTTTCGCAACTATTATCATAGCTTCAAACCTAGGCTTTATTAAAACTCATCTATTAAGATTCTTAGTGAAGTAGGTAGGGTTTAAAAGTACCTCTTCTCCTCGGGTGTTTCATTTGCTTTAATCATTTCTTTTTGTTTCCTTTTTTCTTCTTTAAGCCTCAATCTCTCTGCTTCAAGTCTTTGTAACAGTTTTAATTCTTCTTCATCACTGTCACTACTGCTGCTGCTGCTGCTAGATGAACTACGTGATTTTTTCTTCTTCTTTTTACTTTTCTTCTTCTTTCCTTCACTATTAGAAGACTTGTGTTTTTTATGTGGTGACTTATGTCTGTCTTTGCTGGAGGACTTCCGTTTCCTGTGAGGTGATCTTGATCTTTTTTCGGAGGTTTTGTCTCTACTTCGTGCTTCATAATCTCGATGACGCTCAACTGAACGACCGCGAGAGACATCTCTGTGTTTACTTATATGTCGTGACGACCTACAATAATAGAATTGTTATTTTGACTAACTCTAGACGTGTATCTAGTATATAGCACATACAACATAATGTTTCAAAAATTTTAAGATATGAAAAATTTGTTAATAATATTATGTGACCACATTATAGAACATGCCATATAGCATGATTATACTTACATTGTTTAAAGCAATTCACAATTATTATACGTAAGTTTGTTTTAAATACGTTTTTACATAAGTAGTTTTTACATACAACGCTAATTACAATTTGCAAACTCCAAATTCTACACAGACCATCGTGTTGCGTTATGCTTATTGACAATTGACACTGTCATTTACTATCATACACCGTTATTGTCAAATCCGTCACATTAGGATATCTCACAGATATCATTCAGAATTATAAATATATCGATACTTATAAAAATAATATTATGAACAATATTATTTTAGAACTCTATAAAACTTCCTAAAATAGAGTTTTCAATGTAATGTGTCAATGTACTGAAATAATCTCTACTTCTGTTTTTTGAGTTATTAGCGTTTCTTTATAGATTTCACTATCGTCATTTTGTTTGAATATTTAACTGACCTATATAGAGATCTATAATATAGAGGAAGATGATCTTGGATTAACAACTTGATGAACTGTAACAATGCTGAGACCCTCCACCACTAGGAAAATAATCTCAATACCAAACAGTAGCAGGGTTTCTACATGGCAATAACTTTATACATTACTGTCAGTGTCAACAACAAAATATCAATATTCAATAGACCAATAGTCAATACATATGTGTGAAATCTGTATTCAACAGCACCAGAAATGAAAGTGAATTATAAATGAAAAAGAAATTAGGAAATAACATTAGTGGACAAATATAGCAGACCGTCCTAGGAACTTACTGAAGAGATACTGTTAAATTAAATTTATACAATAAGAATTTCCAATGTCTTCTTACCTTAGAGGATCAGAAAATTATGTTTGGTGTCAAACCAGTGTTTTGGGGAAGGGTGCAACAGGTGCGGTGTATCAAGGAGTTAATAAGAATAATGGGGAACCGGTAGCTGTGAAAACTTTCAACCAAGTGAGCCATATGAGGCCACATGAAGTACAAATGCGAGAGTTTGAAGTGTTAAAGAAAGTGAAACATGAAAATATTGTAAAGTTGCTGGCTATCGAAGAGGAACAGGAAAGTAGGGGAAAAGTAATAGTTATGGAACTTTGCACCGGTGGGAGTCTCTTCAACATATTAGATGATCCAGAGAACACCTATGGCCTTCAAGAAGACGAGTTCTTGTTAGTGTTAGAGCATCTGACGGCAGGAATGAAGCACTTGCGAGATAATAACTTGGTACATAGAGATTTAAAGCCCGGTAACATCATGAAGTTCATCAATGAAGATGGAACAACAACCTACAAGCTGACAGACTTTGGAGCGGCCAGAGAATTACAGGAAGAGGAGCAGTTTGTGTCTCTGTATGGTACTGAGGAGTACCTGCATCCAGATATGTATGAGAGGGCAGTGTTGAGGAAACCGGTGGGCAAGAGCTTCGGTGCCACTGTTGACCTATGGTCTATTGGGGTCACCTTATACCACGTTGCTACTGGCCAGCTTCCATTCAGACCCTATGGAGGCCGAAGAAATAAAGAAACCATGTTCTATATCACTACCAAAAAGATCTCCGGAGTTATTTCTGTAAGTTTTGTATTGATTATATATATGAAAATGTATGTATGACATGTGTTAATAAATAATTGTCAGGGTACCCAAACAACTGAAAATGGTCCAATAGAGTGGTCTCGAGAGCTGCCGTCACATTGTCAGCTGAGCGTGGGTCTTCGGAAACTGGTTACACCACTACTAGCTGGACTACTGGAAATAGACCCTCCAAGGATATGGACATTTGATAGATTCTTCTCGGAGGTTCAAACTGCTACCTCTACGAAGCCAGTCCATATATTCCATGTTAATAAAGCGGCCAGTATAAAGGTAATATTATAATAATATTCATATTGAATTCAAAATTCTTATCAAAGCCTCCATTCTATCTAAGTATGTACAGGAAATCATGAAAAAAAAAAGTTGAATGTATGCATAATTGGCATAAAAAGCCCTATAATATATTTTATCATTTGAAAAAAGTTTTTGAAACTGCTGAAAAGAATACATTTAAATTTTGATTTAGGTTGATATATTACTTTATAAGCGGAAATAACAGTTAAAATTAAGTTAAGTCATAACACAACCTACTTCAGAATAGGTTACAAATAGGTTAGTGTTGACTAGATTTATCGTAAAACATAGATTTGTATAAAATAATTATATAAGAGAGCTTGGTATTGTGAAGTTCCTTTTGTTCCGCTCATTAGATGCAATTTCAATGAACGAGTTGCGCAAGGTCGTTTTCGCGCGGCCTACTTACGACCCAACCACGAACAAAACAAATTACGGTTCCGAGATATTAAAGTCTTTGTGGTATAAATAATTTACATTTAACATGATTTATCCGCTTTGTATTAATTACTGTATTTTGTGCAGTTTATAGTCACTGAGATACACATTTCTCATGCCATACAACAATTGTTTTTATTTGTATCATATATATTCCAGGTATTTCTGAAGCCGGAAGAAAAGTATGAACATTTACAGAATTACATCTGCGAACAGACGAGTGTGGTCGCGGAGTCACAGATACTATTGTACAAGGACATGTTACTACTGAGCGAGATAGACGAGAACACGTCGGGTAAACAGGGCTTTATATTTTATTTTTTTTATTTTATTTGGATAGTCAACAAAAGAAAACATGAATACATTCATTACATTAACAAACTATCAATAATAACTTAAATGTCCGTTTAATTATAGGCTATCAAATCATGCAAGATACATATAATAATTGTAGCAAAACAAAATTTAAACTAAAAAAAAAATAATAATAAATTAATAAAACATTACACAATAATCACTAAAATTTACATAACTAATAGCATTATAATTTAACATTTCAATATAATTCAAACTATAGAATGTCACAGAATTAAATTAATATATATATATTTTATTTTATTATAGTTATTTAAAAAAAAAAGCATGATGTGTACTATTTTTTTAAAAGGCCAAAATTTTTTTCCTTAATTGTACCAAATTATCGTGGTATATGTCTAAATCGTTAAATTCTATCGAAATATTATTATATAATGTCGCCATTCTGGGTATTGGTGAGTTTTTACCTAAATGAGTCCTGTACGTTACAACATTGAATTGTATTGAGATGGATCGTTATTGGTAATGTTTAATTCCACAGGGAAGAACTATCCGGACACGACGGCGGAGGTCCCTCTGATGTTGTTCAATAAGAATAACAACAACGTGAGCATGGCGCCGGAGCCTGACATACCGAAATTCCCTCCCTTCCCTAACGACATGGCCGTCGACGCAGCCGCCTCCGTCGCGAAGGTGAGCTCCACCGTGTATGAGGCGTCTATTTTTCTATTTTTTTTATTGTTATATGAATGGCACATCAACAGTACATACATTAAACACTTAAAACTAAACATTTAAAACCGACACTTATCTGATGTGTGTACCAATTATAGACGTACACAGCACTGCTGAAGATTACTGTCTGGCTGCTTAATAATAATACTTATTGATTACAAAAATATTATAAAAAAATAAAGATAATAAAGAAGAAACAATATCATAAAACTATCAAGATAAACTAGTACAGCAAAATTTAACTAACAGGACTTGACAAAAACATCACAAATTTTTCGCTTAAATTTCGGTAAGGAATCGGAAAAAACATCAATATTTTGTGTTAATGCACACAGATCGTTATACTGGCCACATATTCTATTTATCGGGGAATATTTATCAACATTTGTGCGCGACTTCGCTATGTAAAACTATTTATTGTTAGGTTTTCTAGGAGGGTGACATGGGACTGAGATATTAATTTTATGGAGAGCCTGTTCACATTGGACAGTGCCATTCATAATTTTAAACAATAATATTAAATCGAGAAGTTTTCTTCGATTCCGCGAGGTTTCCATTTTGTAAAATTTAGACGACTTTCGTATGGCGCTCTATGGGATATTCCACTGCATGCAAAAGCTAGATAGATTTAGTGAAAGAGTTGAATCGATTCAACTTTTTGTGAATTTAAACAGCGTATTAACAGGTTCCAGATCTGAGACGCGAACTCTAAAATTGTCCTAACAAGAGTATTGAACAGGTAAAGCTTTGTTTTAATCGTAAATCCTTTTGTATTTTTCTCAATTAATCCAGTCATTATGGCTCCCTTTGCATTTATCATGTACCTCGGCTACTTCTTTAACTGATTGCCCATAAATTGTGTATGACGAAGTAATAGGGAGTTTATTTTTTTGAGAATTTGATATGAAAACATTTTGTTGGATTAAGTAACATATTGTTACTATCACACCATTGCTGAATTCCAAGTAGATCACTATGAAGTTTTGTATCTGTGTCTATATGTGTGTGTGTGTGTGTGCAGACGGCGTGTAGCGTGGGTCACGTCATCAAGCGTCGGGTGGAAGCCCTGTGCGCGGCGTCTCAACTGTGCGGCGCGTGCGTCAGTCGGTGGGGGGCGTTGCTGGCCACCAGGCTGAGCAGCGTGGCGGCGCGGGCTCAGGCCTTGGCCGCACACGCCAGCTGTCTGCACGACGCCGCCCGCGCCCTCGACCTCGCGGCCGCCGCGCACCGCCTGGCGCAGTCCGCGGCCGGCGCTCCGCCCTCCGGTACCGGCCAGGACTCGTGGGCCGCGTCGGCCGCCCTCGTGTCCAAGGAGGCTGAGGAGCTCCGCTCGGCCGGCAACTCGCTCCGTGCGCGTCACGTGCCGCCCGCCCTCCGCGCTCACTGGGACGACGCCCTGCTGCAGGCGCCCTGCCCTCACGACCTTCACCTGCACCTTAAGGCGAAGACGCTCGTCGACCGGTACGCTCCCACTCTGTTTTCGTCTCTTTCCTTTCTATTATATACAACAAAATACCGAATGAAATAAAAGACTACTTATGTAAAATTTAAAAAACTTTTGTTTTCCTTAGTAGTCAACAAGTGTTATTACTCCGTAAATGATTACCTAATGGACAAGACATAATATTGTAAATTGATGAATAAAAAATGTATAAAATATATAACTTAATTATGTATCTATCTATTATTGTTAATTTTCATCTGTAAAACATTTAATGTGAATTTATAATTATAATTGCATTGTTAATTTAATTTCTAATTTTAATTTATAATTTAATCCTAATATTTGCATGCCTTAAGGTAGAATGTACTGGAACTTATACTAAAATCTATTTATACACCTATATTCTGTACCTACATTCAGAGAAATAAATATTATTACTATTATTTCTCCCCGTGACCGTGGCCCGCGTCTCTCCCCCAGCCTGCGCGAGTCGTGGCAGCACCTGGTGCGGGACCGCGCTACCCGCCCCATGACGTACAACGACGAGCAGTTCCACCTGTTGGAGCGCATCACGGTGGCGGAGACGGGGCGGCGCGCGCGGAGCCTGCTGCAGCGCGCGGCGCCGCTGGCCAGGACGCGGGCGGACGCCATCGCCGACTGGTACAAGGTGGCGCAGACCGTGTACCTCCAGACACAGATACTGGACAAGGACGTGGCCGCCGTCGAGCTCAAGGTGCTGGCGCTGGCCGCCCGACTACAGGACGCAGAGAGACGCTCCAGGGCCGTCATGGCTGACGTCGGCGCTCAGGTATATTATTAGATTAGATAATACCTTTCTATTTTTAAATTAAACTATAATGGTTACAGTCAATCTGGGTAACTTTGACAGATAAGGGTGATATTTTATACAATACTAAAGCTTTTGCCCGCGACTTCGTCCGCGTGGAATAGTGACTTCCGGCACTTTTGCGCACTTTTTTTAATGATGATGTAATATTTCAAGGTTTCTCTTCTTTAAAAGCTTTTTGTATGAAGTATATCTACTGCAATAGTATATACTGTACAGTCTGCAGTTTACACGATACAGTCTGCAGTTTACACGATACAGTTTGCAGTTTACACGATACAGTTTGCAGTTTACACGATACAGTTTACACGATACACGATACAGTTTTGCAGTTTACACGATACAGTCTGCAGTTTACATTGAATAATCTTTGGATGAAAAGTATAAGTAGGTACGTCTTTTGACATTATTCTAACATCTCGAAGATTCGAAACCGATTCTAACCTTTTGCTGTTTTATAAAATATAGCTTTTGCCCGCGACTTCGTCCGCGTGGAATAGTGACTTTCGGCAGATTTTTGGTTCTTCCCACATAGTTCCCGTTTTTGCGGGATTTTCGGAATAGTCGAATTCCCGCAGAATTTTCAGGATAAAACCTGTTTTTTTTCGAGTTCCAAACTATATCTGTACAATTTTTACAGTAAATTTAATTATTTTAAAGAACTTCTGCATATACTAAAAAAAAAGTGTTATTATTGTGAAACTAAATACTATCGTAAAACAAATAAAGTACCTACTATATAGAAAACACAGATACAACATCATTTTATCTAATTGTAATAATTTCTCTTTTATCTGGTCATTTCCACCACCACCTTGTGTTGATCTACTCATGACAACAAGTGTATAATACGAGAATGTGAAACTTGTCATTTTTCCTGGAAACAGTGTGCCTTCTGTTTTAAATATAACTGTTGTTCCAGGTCAGAACTCAACATATTTTGAAGTTCATGTTGAAAAACTCCATCTTTAACAACATACTCTTCAATCACCTCTTCTAAGACCATTTCAGTTTCTATGTAAGGGTAACTTTGACTCTATCAAAGTTACCCAGTTACTGTTCAAAATACGTATCTTCATATTTATGCATGAAATTTTAAAATAAGACGTAATTATATGCAAATTTTTCATGAAAATGCGGTAGTTCAATCACAAATGGATCTGTATAACATCTCACTTACCTTATCAGCAACCAAAATCACAAAATATTCAAGAAGTTATTCACCCTAAAGTAAACTTAAATTCGCGCGCTATATTCAGAAAAAAAGTTTTGACGTTTTCTTACTTTCACAACTTACTTTTTTTAAGGTGCGTTTAGGAAGTTTGTTTAAAAGCTTAAATCTAAAATAAACATATATGAATAGTGTTGGTTTCATGCGAAAAAATAATCGAAACTACATAGTTCATGGTCCCATTGTCAAAGTTACCCGATGAATCAAAGTTACCCAGATTGACTATAATGTAATGATTATTGATTTGAATCACTATTTCCACTGTTTTAAGAGTTAAATATTTTTAAATGAGAGAAACTTGTAACACGTCTTTCTAGTTCAAAGTACGCTTTGGATAGGAGACGATTTTTAAATTAAAGTATAATGGTTAATTGATATGGCTATACATTTTAAGCTGACCGCCATCAAGTCGGAGTCTCCCGTGGAGGCGGACAAGGACCGAGCTCCCCGCCCCCCGCGCCCCGGCGGCCGTCCCCCGCGCCCCCCGGCCGGTGACTCCCTATCGTCGGGTGTGAGTGCTCGCGGGGCGGGTGTGCGGGCGCTCCTCTCCTCGCACGAGGAGGTGTCGTCTCGCGTGTCATCCAACTCGGCGCTCGTGGCTCGTCTGCTGCAGATCACCGCCGACCTGACTCCCTAGCGCCCTCTCTGGACGAGCGGACCAACTATGGACTCGTGCAATAATCAGTTCAGTGATTTAAAGTGTTTGGATACTCGGTGCAGTACGTGTAGTGATAATGATGATCAGATGGTAGAAATTAATATCGACAGTTCAAATAACGATTACAGAATTGATTCGAAATGTTGGTGCAATAGAGAAGACTGTTGTATGTATGTGGGTGGTGACTGTGACTACGGTCAGCAGAATATGAATCCTATTCTAAGTGATATTCCTGATAATAATTATACTAGCAGGTATACGTATAACAATTCGGAGTGTACGACCACAGAGAGTGACTCGGTCTCTGAGACCACATCGGATGAGTCACTCAGTACATTGACCTCTGGCATCAAGACTGTTATATATGGATCTGTGAGCTCCAAAGACGCCTCATTACCTAGAGACATTGATGAAGATTTAAATGAAAATGAATGTTCAAAAACTAAAGCAGCTTGTGTTGTGACGTAACAACCAGTATGATCACAAACAAACTAGTAAATTGAGAAAAAAACCATGAAAGTGTTTTGTTTATGTGTCAACATTCATCTTATAATCTATAGGATCCCTTTACATATCAGTAGAAAAAAAGCATGTTCACAAATAACACAATCAAATCTAGGAAATAACTAGTTTTATATTAATGGTGCTCTAACTTGCAAGTTAAAGATTTTATTCAGATCTCACATTAGCTCAATTATTATATATGCTGTGAGAGTAGTTTAATGAATTTCAATTAAACAAGCTTATGGAATGTGTAAATAATTTTATTATTTATAATATAAAGTTTTTTACAAAATCATTATTTAATCTATAAAACAAATTTCGCTACAGCCATTGTATGAATCAGCAACAAGATTTTTTACATATACATAGCTTAATCTTAGATCTGCCAATAAAATATATAAATATTATATGCAAGTTGGTCAAATATTTGAAGCATGTTTGTAGTCAAACAAGTTACGTTTAAAGACATCAAATTAAATAATGAATTATAGTACAATTGTTATGAAAGGGCAGAAAATTATGTGCCAACAATATATATTCCTATTTCCAAGTAAGACATTTTAAATACAGTTATTATTGTGTTCACATTTTGATCAGATCAATGATTTAAAAATAATTTAAATTATAAACATGTTGGAATATTGTTAAATAATCACACTACTAACTAAACAAGTATATTTACTATAATGGGTAACTTGTGTATTACTAGAAAAATATTAAAACCTCTCCATAACATTTCGTGATTGAAAAGCAGGGGTCTGTTAATAAAACTATTTTTTACTTTATGTGCTGATTTTTTTTTCCACAATTCTTCTCTTAATAATAATAATAAAGCCCGAATAGTTGCCGAGTACCTTCTTATCGGTATGTAATATATATTTCGCATTTTTAACAATAAATATCCTATTAGATATATTTGTGATAGTCCTTGCGCTAATGATAGTCATCTCTTGATTTATGTGAGTGGTAGGGAGGCCAAAATAACACTTGTCTTACTAAATTAGCTGTAGCTTTAAATTATTAGGAGCAGCTTGTTCCTAACGCACAAGATATAAATATCCTAAGACGGATCCGACTATATCATGACAAATAATACATTTTATTTACAGTGTACACATTTTTCTCTGGCACGAAACAGCGAACATAAGATTTGATCATAAACATGATATGACAAAAAATAGTATAATAATAACTAATATTTTTCATTAATTTTGAATGTGTATTTAATTATATCGTTTCATCGAATACATCGATTACGACAGATTCTAACCTGGGCGCCTAAGCAATTGTTAGTTTTCATACATATGTATATTATCTCATGTGCGTCAAGTCAGTACCGCCTCCCACTCTCACCGGCCACATACACAATGATGACAGTCACTAGCGCGAGGTCTATTCACGGTAATTAGTCATAAGATGTAAGACAATCACGTGCCCGCTATGAGTACGTTCTATCAAAGAGCTTAGCGCGGCTAAGTCGTCTTTCTAAAGTACGGTAGTCACGGTGAGCGGCCTGCACCCGCTGGAAAGTCGCCAGTAAGGCATCGAAATCAAGACCGGGAGGCGACTGAGGAGGTGGGGGTTCGTTGTGCGGGGGGCGGGCCGTGAGGGGCGGAGGGGGCGGGGCGCAGTGCAGCCGACGACGGAGGGAGTGGAACGCTTCACTCTGAGGTAATAACATGAGGAGTCCGAACAGAGCCGAGCGGAGCGGGCGACTGCGCTCGTCGTCTAATAACTCCAGCCGGAGGTCTGAAACATATATTATACAACTTGTGAGACCCACTGATTACAGTACCTGGATCATATATCTGATGTCACCTTATTTTGTCCAGTGTGATGATTGTGTGTGTTTGCACATGTATGTGTGTGCGTGTGTGTATGTTTGAGTGTGTGCGTGTGTGTATGTTTGAGTGTGTGCGTGTGTGTATGTTTGAGTGTGTGTGTGTGAGTATGTTTGAGTGTGTGTGTGTGCGTGTGTACTCACAGGCGAACACCGGTGACTCTATCAACTGAACCAGTTTGTCGACTTCAGTGAGGAAGTCCACCGTTATCTCTAGGTCCCCACTGAACATTGTTCAAGAAATATTTAAAACCAAAACATTACATCCTTTTCAGTGTCGATATAATAACAAACGTGAAAAGTCATTGGTCTACTAATGCGAATGTACGTTTAAGGAGCAATAGTTATCAATCTTTTTACTTTTCTATTTTGTGCAACCAAGTTTAGTTTAAATATTGGGGCAGTTCGCGTGAAGCGGACAGGAAAAAAAAGTGAGGTTCGGAAAATCGATCATATTGGGACCATTTATACTTCTAGTAGGTATGAATGTAAACACAGAATATTTTATTTGTATAATGTATATTTCACAAGTTATGGGTATCTAAAGAATTTTCGTAATCGGAATATTAATTTTTATGAAGATATTTTTTCGAATTAAATAAATTTACAATTAAGTATATATCATAGCGATACTTATCGGAAAAGACTGTTCTTTTTAACAATAAAAAAAAATAGAAAAATAGGTCTTGTTTTCATGTCCAAAACCGGAAGTAACCTTATCAAACTTGAATTTCATTCACTTCGACCATTTTTATTTTTTTTATTCAAATTATAGCTTAACATATATCAAAAAAACCCTAAAAAATTTAGAATGGGATTTCTATTAGTTTAGGAGTTACATTCTTGTGAAGAGGACCAGTTCTAGCAAAAATTTTAAAGTAGTAAAAATTACAAAATAAACTAGATCTTGCATTGTTACAATAATGTTTTAAGATGATATAATTATCATACCACACCAGTTATACAAGACATGATGTTTAACGCACACTAATCTAGCGTCAGACATCACGCCCATTGCGACGCGTGTGCACATATATCAATGTAACTCCTTAACTAATAGAAATCCCATTCTAAATTTTTTAGGTTTTTTTTGATATATGTTAAGCTATAATTTGAATAAAAAAAAATAAAAATGGTCGAAGTGAATGAAATTCAAGTTTGATAAGGTTACTTCCGGTTTTGGACATGAAAACAAGACCTATTTTTCTATTTTTTTTTATTGTTAAAAAGAACAGTCTTTTCCGATAAGTATCGCTATGATATATACTTAATTGTAAATTTATTTAATTCGAAAAAATATCTTCATAAAAATTAATATTCCGATTACGAAAATTCTTTAGATACCCATAACTTGTGAAATATACATTATACAAATAAAATATTCTGTGTTTACATTCATACCTACTAGAAGTATAAATGGTCCCAATATGATCGATTTTCCGAACCTCACTTTTTTTTTCCTGTCCGCTTCACGTGAAATGCCCCTAATTTTTATCTTTCACTGTAGTATTCACATGTCGTTTATAACATAAACTATAAAGGATACAACGTAGATATGAGCGTGTTGCAGTGCTTGTAGTTGTGTGTGAGGAGACAGAGAGCCAGCAGCGCCACCGGGCTGTGGCTCCAACACTCGTACAGAATCTCGAACAGGGACACCGTCGCCTGAAACGCACATAGTATAGGAGCTCAGATATAGCTTAGCCTCGTTTACTGGTAGGTGTAGTAGTGAGTGTTACCGGGTCGGCGAAGGCTCTCAGACTACGTCGCAGGTGATGCAGCTCGGCGGCCGTGAGCAGCAGCGTGTCCAGCACGTCCACCAGCCGCGCCGCGAACCGCAGGTCGCGCTCCCCGCGGACACACAGCGCCACGCCGCGGTACACCGCCTCCGCGCCCACCAGCACGCACAGCTGTCTGGGACACGGACACGACCCGTCACACACACACACGGAATGTACTCAATATTTATATAGTAGAAACTCGATTATCCGGCTCTCAGTTATACGGATTCGCGATTATCCGGTCTACAGACAAGACCGGACAAGAAAAATTAATGTCCAAGCGTAAGAGAGTGGTGTTGTTGAGAGTGGCGTACGTTAAATGACAATTACCAAATATTTTATACTTATTATTTTAATTCCTCATTACCAACTGCAAATTACCAAATACATATTATAATTTATTTTTTAAATAAACATATAATATTAGGAACTAGTCCGATCTACAATTATGCACAAAACCGGCTATTCTTCATACATTCGATTATCCGGATTTTCGATTATCCGAATTCCTATCGACCACAATTAGTCCGGTCAATAGAGTTTCTACTGTATATAAACTTACCTTATGATGAACGATCCTCTATCTTCTAGCAGATTCTCGTCAGCTGCGAGCAGTCTCAGCAGAGCTTTGAGGAATTTGTGGTAGTACGGACTGGATTCAAGGTCACCTGAGACATAGGGGTTAGTATATAACAAGAACATGAGCTTTGACGTCATATATCAGTAGGGTAGTACTTGTGGTTGTGGTGACGGTGTCACTTGTGGTGGTGGTGGCAGCGGTGGTAGCGGTGTGGCAGGAACATATCTCAGCGAGGACGGCCAGCGCGCGCCGCACCACGTCGTCCGCGGGGTCCGCGAGGCTGCCTACCACGCTCAGGAACACACGCTCCGTCTGGAGGAACATCTACACGAACACACAATAAGTTACTTATTTGTTATTATATTTAACATCGTGACCAAAATATTCTATATATTTCACACAGAAAGTGTAGCAAAATCTAGGTCTTCATTAGTCTTAAGTTCTTTAAGCTAATACAAGTTCAAAGACACTAAATATAATTCAACAGTGCATCACCTCGTTGGGTAGCTTGTTATACAGATGTAGGATCCAGTCGAGCGCCGCGACCTTGGTGTGTAGTGAGCTGTGGTGTAACATCTGTGTCAGCACCCCCACCACCGCCTCCAAGTTCAGACAACCCCTCGCGTCGTCTCCCTGAGAGGCCTCTGTTTTCTCTCTCCCCTGTGTCGCTTGCTCTGTGTCATCATTACTCTGTGCCCCCTCCCCCTGTCCCTTGTTCATCACATCCACGGGCGAGTCTTCATCCGACACGACCAGTTTGATCAGCTGATGGTTCACAGCGGCCGCCGTTTCACGTATTTCTGATCGGTTCGTAGTAAGGAAAGGTGGAAGTTGATCTCTATCTTTATATATATAAAAATTTCGTGTCACATGTTTGTCCGCGATGGACTCCTAAACTACCAAACCAATTTTAAATATGATTTGCATTCCGTGTGCATTTTGATCCAACTTGAAAGATAGGATAGCTTACATCTCAATTTATAGTCATAATATTATTTAATTGCAAATTATTTGTCTATTAAAGAAAATGATTTGTCATTATTACAATTATCTGTTGACAGAGTTAAGTATTCAATAGAAGGCGCTATGTTAAAAACACAACCGTCATATATGAGCAAAATATTTAATAATAGCATAACCAACACGTATTTCTGAGGTTAAGGTATAACCTAAATTTATTTATTAAAAAAACGTAACAGATATTTCTTAATAGGACGATAGGAAGTTCTCCGGGTCTTCTAGTAAAATATAAGTATTGATCAAAGGATACTGGTCCTCATGTCGGAGTGATCAGCGAGCGCCAGGCAGGGTAGCGCGGCGGCTAGCGCGCCCGAGGCCGAGGGCAGCACGCGTCGCCCGCACACGTTCACGAACTCCTTCAGCCAGGTCAACGCAGTCAGCTGAACACAAGATTATCTCCATACATATAAAATAATAGAATCGAGAGTATATTTAGTAGATGCTATTTATTTTGTGTGCACATAACGAGATAATCCACTATGTAGGAATTTATTGAGGTAAGACTAATATAGAGAAAATAAGTAGTAACATATAACTCACAATCATAGTATGACATAATATTACTCTGATTAAAAATATAAACAATAAACATAATAAATGTTTTAAATGAATAATATTAAATGTATATATGAACTTGCAGCTCAATGAGCCGGTCTGACCTGCAGCAGTTCCTCTGTGGACTGTGCGTGTGTGATGAGGATGTTGATCATAGACTCGAAGTCCACCTCCGACGGGTCCTTCTTGATGCTTCGGAGAAACTCGTTCAGTTGGACGTCACACCTGACGATATATCACATACATAATACTATAAATATATCGCTCTAACTGCTAATATAAATATGTATAATTTAAATGAAACTATTTTTTTTCGATTAATATTAGTTTCATTTAAATGAGTACTCGCGAAAATCTTAGATCTCATTATATGTATAATTTTCTTTGGGACACGAGGACGTCTGTCCAGAACACTGAGAATTTTGACCAACAAGAATAATTACAGCATCTTGTACATTACTTATAGTACCTACTCTACTTGCTACAAAATATATGTATGTATGTATACAGGGTGACTGGTGAATTACTATCAATATTTAAGGAGCATACTCGGTACATGATTCTCATTCGAATTATGTAAAAAAAATAGGCACTTAATTTTTGACAAAATTTCCGTATAAATAAATAAAGTGTTGACACGTTCCAAGTGTGGTCGCGTGCGGCGGCGTGCTGATACAACACTACGCCGCCGCTCGCGTATGTGTGTGTGAGTGTATACCTAATCTGTAGGGTGTTCACACGATGCGTAATTAATTACATAACTTTTGGTTAACTTTACTTAGAAGTTTATTAATATTTATGTTATATTAATTTTTATTTTGTCATATATGATCGTCAAATATCACGTCCTCAAATATCGATAGTAATTCACCAGTCATCCTGTATATATAATTATAGTACATACATGCGCCGAATCTCCGGGTTAGGGTCATCAAGAACCGTGAACAGCGGGTCGAGCAGCAGCGGCAGGTGAGCCCGGAGCCCTAGGGCCGGCGAGGCGTCCAGCGCGCTCAGCCAGCCCACACCGAACACGCGCGCCGCCGCCGAGCGCGCGTACAGACGCTCACGAACCAGAGGCACCACCAGCGACACGTCCACTGTACCACTCTCACTCACTATGTCCTATACATAACACACATTCATCATACACAGTAGCAGACATCGACTTATACTAATGGACATGTTATACGCGTATAATCTGCAGTAATTTTTTGGTTTGAAAAGAGTGATAGAGATGGCCTATGCTTTCGGTCTAGCACTCTCTCTTTCCTCATAGATGCTTGGCGCTCAGTCAGTACGGTACTATTTTGAGAGGGACAAAGATAGACCGAAACTTCGTTTCCTCTCTTTCTTTCGGAGTGCCACAATTCTCATCTCTAAGGCATGTCCATTAGTATAAGTCGATGGTAGCAGACATCACCAGGTATAACCATAAACAGTATGTCTCTGTTGATATAACTCATATAAACATGAAAATAATACTTGGTTGTTTTAAATATGGCCTTAATCGATGCAAAGATGTACACAATACATTCAGCCAGTGTCATGTACAGTGGAGGACACACTAGCCAGGATTAACGTAGGAATATTTTCTATATTTACTAGTAAGAAGTGAAAGAATTAACACAGTCAAGTAATTTGTTTTTTTTTTAAGAGTTAATTTTGTTGTTTTGCAATCATAGTAACAACAAAAGTAGAATATATCAGAAATAAAAAATACATTTAATTGTGATTTACATGTTACTTGATGAACAGGTCTCATTTTGTAAAATGGGTGTGTTGTGTGTGTGTCAGTACACATGACTGTGTAATACATGTGTGTGGCCTTAAAATTTAATTCTATGATATATATTTTTTAATACAAGTTACCAAGTATAATAGTTAATAAACAATATTTGTAAATGACTTTATTAATGTTATAATGATGTTTTGTGATGACCAAGATAGCTTACAGTAAATCAATAGTTGGCACTAACTTTGACGAGCTTATCAAGCAGCTCTGCTCCCTGACGTACTTGTAGTTCAGGGTCCGCAGCCAGTCGAGCCAATGCATCAAACACTAACGGGAAATGTGTGAGTGAGGCACTGCGCACAATCTTCAACACATTGAACAATGCTTCTGTTGCCGAGTATCTCACCCTGGCCTCACTCTCGCCCAAACAGGCTATAATTGGATGAATCAATTCTCCCATATAATCTACACTTCCCTGAAATGATATTAATATAGTTTATTCAGTTTTAATAGTAACTTATTCTATTTACTTTCTCTGTTTAACTGTATGAAGTTTACGTAATCAAACCTTTCCCAATCCGACCGCAACAGACGAGAGTCCCATGAGAGCTCCATTCTTAACATTGGGATTTGTGGATGACATGAGATCTTGACCGAGCACACGAATAAGACGTTTTATTTGACTTGTATTATTCGCATCGTTGAAATCCTTCACCATTCTAAAAAGGTAATAATGTTCTTTAAGATACATCGACAATTTTGGAATATTTATTGATAAAAAACTTAGTAACTCCTACTTTTCTATCTCAACGCCTGCAAATTTTCTTTTGTCATATAATTTATCGCATAGTCCTCGGACACAAGCCGAGCTCAACGGCGCATAATCTCGGTCCGTCATTTTTCTATTTATTATAGTATTTCATACAATTTATATTGAAAGAAAATTATAATTTTCCGAAAAATAATAACAAACTCGAGTATAGCTGTCACTATGAATATGTCAGTTTGACATTGACACGATAGAATTACATTTTTAAGCAGTGTACAGAAAAACAATGTGGATAACAGAAAAATTATTCTACTTCGCTACATCAATTATTTTTTGATGAATAATTTTAAAAATTTGCCCATAAAGACTAGCATTTATTTTAAAGGTTTTTAAATTATTTCTAGTTTTATATACAATATATAAAAAAAAAATCGATAACGAAATCGTATCGATTATCAAGTCTCTTTACGGGTCATTTTACAGCCTGCTTCCTCTTATAGTATTAACGTAAATAAATAATGACAATTTATCACGCGCGACCGCTTTGCTCACTTGATTGTTATTGAAAGTGTTGTTGTTGTTGTTTTCGGTCGTGTAATTATATAAAAATTTATTTGTGAACTTTTCATTATTCAATGTCATTGAACAAAAAGCAGCAGGCTGGTGTTAAATTGAAATAATAGTATATTTTGTATTAACAAAATGCCTGTGACACTAGTGGATAGGCTGCCCTTGCCGAACCTCAAGGTTTACTCGGCGGGAAGTGTTTTACTATTGTCAGTAGCCGTGTATTATGCTATAAGTGTAACTAGTGACCCCAGCTGGAAGGTAAATGCGACTCTCCAGCGCGAACAATCGGCAGTTTCTCAAGATGAAGCAAAGATGGTGCAACCACCGAGCTTGACTCCGAACGAGCTCACTGCTGGCTCCAAGAATGTTTCCGATCAGTTCATGGAAGTTATGACCTTTATGATGCAGGAGCCGCTTTGTATGTGGGTGAGTTGATTGAAGTCTTAAATATAAAATATATAATATTCATAAAAAAATATGAACAATTAATATAAGAATAATTACATATGAGTTATATGTTTCCATTAAATATATTTTACTACAGTAAATATATTATACATATTTAAAATAAGCAAAAATAAACATCATTTATCTTTTTTATTCCAGTCAATATTATTATTTTTTAAATCAATTTTTGACTATAGTTTATAATCCTAAAATTATTTATACAAAAAAACTATGATTATAATACAGTGGGAAATGCTGGTAGTATGTTATTTAGATAGATTTTTCTAGCATTAGTATTTTAATTGATATGAAACTGGTTTCTGTTTGTAATTTTTCATTGCAAACCCTATTTAGACATACATGAAGTAAGTTATAAAGAGAATTTTTCTAGTTCTATTTTATTTTGATAGGAGGTAACTTGTGTTTAATAATCTTTATATAGAAAGTACCAGTTGCAATTGCATTTTAAGTTCAAATATATTGAGACTTCCTTGTAGATATTCCTTTTTGGTCTATTATTGTACTGAATAATATTTTTAATTTGTTCAGTATAAGAATAGATAAAAAAACCTTTAAAAATAAATAGCTAATTAAATAGATATATGTTTTGAAATTCAATTTCATAATAATCATTGCATTATTTCATAACATATTTTGTAAATGTACATGTACATATAGTTAAGTATTTACATTTAAATGGTTTAAAACCTTTATATGAACGTTGATTAAAAAATATACATATATTTTAATTAAACTGGTATCATATATATGGATTTTGTTTTTAATAATATTTAATTAAAATTACTTAAATTATATAATGACCTTATTCCAAACAGCTCTTTGAGGTCACTGAGCCAAGGATTATTCAGTTTTGAATTCCTGTATTAATTTTACATAATTTAAGTAATTATATATTCTATTATATTTTTATGTGCACTCAACTTATGTATATCTATCTGACCTGATGCAGTATAAAGCTGACAGATGGCATATTAAATGATTGTTCTATTTTTAAGTAATTAATAATTATCTATATAATTATGTATATTGAGAAATCTGTTAAAATTGTTGATTCTACGAAATTTTTGACTCTTTTCTCATTTAGAAAACTATTGTGGTTAAATTTTCTTCAATAAGTCATTATAAAGACAATTTTTTATACCTATTTCTCACTCTATTGATGTTTATGGATTTTCCAATGTGGTTTTATCCGCTATAGATGCTTAGTCATTTTCTCTAATGTTATTCAACAGTTAAACTGTTAATTAACTTATCTAAATAGTCTAAATACTGATACTTTTCTAACATTAAAATTTATTAGGTCATTGGTTTGTCTCGTCTTTGATTCCATACATATCTGTTAACTTGTGTTCATATCTCTATACTGCAGTGGTTACCTTGAACACCTGTCCAAATACATATAATATTCAATCTAGGCATTTACTGTTATAAATAGTGTAAACTCAGCTTTCTTTTATATATATAGATAATGGAGTGGTCTGGATACCTGCCAGTAGTCAAGGTCGACATTATTGATAATTGTTTACACTAAGTTTTGATTAATATTTAATTCAAATTCAATACAAATAATCTTCCAAAGTGAATGTTCTGGGTACATAATGACAATGAATTAGCATTTAAAAAGAACTCTGGAAAGTTATATATTTTTTTTTTCATGTACAGTTTTAGTAATGATCATACTATCATTCATTGCATTTAGGATCAGTGTGTTTGAGATTGTTTAAAAAACATGTGATAAAGCTTTATAGGGCAAAATGTGTTGAAGAAAAAGAAAATTATATTCAAGACTTGATAGAGAGTTTAAGGTTTTTATACAGACTTTAAACAACTTTTGATGTACTTTTATTGTATGTTTGTGGTATATTATAGTTTTAGTTAAAACCTACACATCAAATATTTTTCACTAGGTCATATATTTTAATAAGATAATTTCTGCTTTGTCTATTTTCTTCCAAATAACTTTGTATAGGTGATAGTATTTTTCTTATTATTTTTCAAGTATTACGTCGTTCAATGTTTTCGTCATTTCAAATGTTAATGTTCCTGAACAAACAACTTTCATATATACAGAGTTGTTATGAAACTATTCTTCGCGTCTTTTTCCACTTATTCACCGTATTTTCTATTCATAGTTTCCATTAATTTATTGCGTCTCAGTCCTATTAGCGTTACTAGCGATATTGAGTCCTATTCTGACTTCTAAATACGATGTTTTTTTATTAAAAAATATAAATACTTTTTAAATGCTCAATCCTACACCTTACAGCATTTCAAGACTTCACCAGATCACGAAAATAAATGAAATTGTTTACATTGTCTTAATTATATCAAGACAGAAATAGAATGGACAATGCCACGTTGGATGTAACCGTTTCACTTATATTATGAATGATAATTGGCTAACAAAATAACACTCACACAGGATCAACACACTCGTACTAACTGTAAACTACAGTGAGTCATTATAATATTATTAATACTAGCTCTGCCCGCGACTTCGGCCGCAGGGAATGTTAGATTTTCTATTATACGAATAAAATAAAAGCAGCCTTTGTTATTTCCTGTTACACCAGCTAATTATACCAGTGAGTGTCGGCAAAAATTATCCAGACGTTTTAAATATTGGAAGACGCAAACGGACCGACAAAATTAAAAAAATAAAACGAATTTAGTTATATACCCTGTATATATTCACATGCATTTAGTAAAACGCGGGAATTTTTTTAATATATATAACGTATAGACGATAGAATTCCTCACATTCGTTTTTATGTATTTTGAATGTGTTTGTGTGTGTGTGTGTGTGTGTGTGTGTGTATAGTATATGTATGTGTGTGTTTTAATATTAATAACCATCATCACTACAGTGGTTCGCCCTGACTGGTGTTGTATATTAATGGAACACTTCATCTATATATTATATCACAGTGTAAATGATACCGCCGGTCGATCAGCTGACTGGCCTTGACACACATCACACGTATTAAGGAATTCATCTTATAATTGAAAATAACATTAAATATATATGTAACGTTAAAATTATTGGCTTTACTCATTACTCGTGTTAGACGAAATAAATTACAGAGCAGTTAAATCTCGTCTGCTGAAAAGTAACCGAAACGGCGGGAGTATGTAGTTTAAAAATAATAAAATATGCGAAGTAATCCGAATAATATTAGTTTCATTTGAAGCAGGGAAAGATGTTTTTACTTACGGTAATAAGTAATAACACCAAAGATTAATCGCTTATAAAATATTATCCGTAATGATAATAGATAACTGTATATATTCTAAATGAACTATTAGTATGGTTTAACCTACTTTATATAATGGTAGGCTTTACATATACATATTTTTTTTTTGTTCTATTTTGTCTTTTTATTTTCTTTTTTCTTATTTGAATTTTGTTTTCTGGTAGCTGCGTTGAATATAATCCAATAAGGATGTTTTTAATTTAAAAAAAAGTTTCATGTTATATTTAAGGATAGTTGATCTAAAGTTGGAATGTTTGATCCAATGCTCTGTAAATTAGAAGGTATCACGAAGGAAAAAACAGAGAACTATTCATATATAAAAGACTAGCTTTTGCCGCGGCCTCGTCCGCGTGGAATAGTTACTTCGACAGATTTTTGGTTCTTCCCACATAGTTCCCGTTCTTGCGGGGTTTTCGGAATGGTCGAGTTCCCCTAGAATTTTCAGGATGAAACCTATGTTTTTTTTATTAATAATGAAGTACTCTTAACCAACAACATATTTATTTGTTTATATGAATAAAGATTAATATTATTATTTTGATACAACTTAAACAAATTATTTCGACTAAATTAGGTACCTTAAAAACGGTTTTTGTGAGTTAATCTTAAAAGATAGACATATACGGTCGCGGACGGTTTTTTAGATCATTAAAAGAGTTATTATTCGTTAATATATATTTTTTGTGTATCTTGAACCGTTTTCACGGCGCACGCAACGGAAGGCTTCAAAGATGAAATAATTTCTCCCGTTTTTTACACATTTACCATTATATCTTTGCTCCTATTGGTCGTAGCGTGATGTTATATAGCTCACAGCCTTCCCCGATAACTGGACTATCCAACACAAAAAGAATTATTCAATTCGAACCAGTAGTTTCGGAGATTAGCGCTTTCAAACAAACAAACAAACAAACAAACTCTTCAGCTTTATAATATTAGTATAGTTTAGTATAATATTAGTATAGCTTTATAATATTAGTATATGTATTTTAAAAAAATATGTAGGTGTACCTATATAATTTTTCCGTATGAAAAAGAAAACAGATTTTTTTTTACACAAAATTTTCTTTGGTATCGATTTAATGTCACGTATGTATTTTTAAATTTGTTATTAATTACTTTATTTTAATAAATTCTATAAAAAAAATATTATGGCCTTATAAAAATATTATATGACGCACAGTATTCGGTACGTAAGTTAAAAAATATATTATTTTTATATATATTTATTTTATGTATGTATATAGTTGACCTTTCAGAGCGTTCTTGTAAGTTTATAAATATTTTTGGTTCGCTATTTATTATGTCCATATTAACATCGACCTCGCCAGCCGCCGACTGCCACGGCCGTACAACATTACACAATGGATAGGAAATGATTTAAAAAATAAGGATTTAAAAAATAAATAAAAAACACAAGCGTTATGGCCGATCCAATTATAACTTCAATATTAATGAACAACTTCCACCAACACTTTTTTATTATAAAAAAACAGAATGATTGATAGGAATTTAGTATTGCGTACTGATATATTTTAAGTACTAATATTCTATAAGAAATTACACGTTTTTAGGTACACACAAGTTTAAATTTATTTCGAACTATTGCATAAGATTTTGACAAAGAAATATCGTTTTTATATTTAAAAACTATATTGTTTGTGCTATGTAATAGTTTATGGTTATTTTATTTTTATCTAATAA